TCTCAGATGCACAGTTTAAAACACTGGTCATCAGGATCCTCACAGAACTGGTTGATTATAGCCACAAATTAGACAAATATATGAAGGCGAAACTAATTGAAATGAATGGAATTGCACAGGACACCAATAGCAATGAAAAGGAAACTGGGACTCAAATCAATGGAGTGGACCAGAAGAAAGCAAATAATGGCCAAACAGAAAAGAGTCAAGAAGCAAGAATTCAAAGAAATGAGGAGAGTCTTAGGAACCTCCAGGACATCTTTAAATGCTCCAACATCCGAATGTTAGGGGTACCAGAAGGGGGAAAGGCACAGCCATGAGTGGAAAACTTATTTGAACAAATAATAAAGGAGAATTTCCCCAATCTGGCAAAGGAAATAGACTTCCAGGAAATCCAGCAAGCTCAGAGAGTACCAAAGAAGTTGGACCCAAGAAGGAACACACCAAGGCACATCATAATTACATTAGCCAAAATTAAAATGAAGGAGAGAATCCTAGAAGCAGCAAGAGCTAAGGGGACAGTCACCTACAAAGGAGTCCCCATCAGACTGTCAGCAGATTTCTCAAAAGAGACCTTCCAGGCAAGAAGGGGCTGGAAAGAGGTATTCCAAGTCATGAAATCCAAAGACCTACAACCAACATTGCTCTATCCAGCAAAACTTTCATTTAGAATGGAAGGACAGATAAGGTGCTTCTCAGATAAGATCAAATTCAAGGAGTTCATCATCACCAAGCCCTTATTATATGAAATGTTAAAGGGACTTATCTAAGAAAAAGAAGTTAAAGAAACATGAACAGTGAAAGGACAACAAATTCACAGTTATTAACAACCACACCTAAAACGAAAGCAGACTAAAAGGACAGCTAGATCAGGAGTGGAAACATAGAAATGAAGATCTCATGGAGGGTTAGCAGCAGGGGAGTGGGAGGAGGAGAAGGTACAGAAAATAAGTAGCATAGACAGTAGATAGAAAATAGAAGGGGGGCAAGAATAGCATGGGAAATATAGAATCTAAAGGACTTGAGACACATGGTCATAAACTAAAGGGGGGTAATGGTGGGGGGGTAGGGTGGAGGGGAATGAAAGGGGGAATAGAACAACTGTAACAGCATAATCAATAAAAAATTTAAAAAAAAGAAATTAATGAAGATATAAATTAATGGAAGCCTATATCATGTTCATGGATCAGAAGAATTAAGATAATTAAAATGTCCATACTACCCAAAGCAATCTATAGATCAACACAATTCCTATTAAAATACCAATGGCATATTTCACAGATCTAGAACAAATATTTTAAAAATTTATATGGAACCAAAAAAGACTCCAAATAGCCTCAGCAATCTTGAGAAAGAAGAAAGTAGGAGGGATAACAATACCTGACATCCAACCATACTACAAGGCCATGGTAATCAAAACAGTCTGGTACTGGCATAAGAACAGACACATAGATCAATGGAACAGAATAGAAAGCCCAGAAATAAACCCATGTCTCTATGGTCAATTAATATTTGACAAAGAGGACAGAAGCATACAATGGAGCAAAAGTATCCTGTTCAGCAAGTGGCGTTGGGAGATCTGGACAGGTACATGTAAAAAAAAAGTGAAATTAGAACACCAAACTACACCGTACACCAGAATGAACTCAAGATGGATAAAAGACTTAAATATTAAGTCATGACACCATGAAAGTCCTAGAAGAAAACAGGCAGGAAAATTTCAGATACCTCGCTTAGCAATATTTTTGCCACTATATCTCCCAGAGCAAGGGAAATAAAAGAAAAAATAAACAAATGTGACTACATCAAAGTAAAAAGCTTCTATATGGCTAAAGAAACCATCATCGAAATGAAAAGGGAACCAACTGTATGGGAGAACATGTTTGCCAATGATACATTGGACAAGAGTTTCATGTCCAAATATAAAAAGAACTCACATGACTCAACACCAGAAAGACAAACAATCCAACTAAAAAATAGGCAAAGGACCTGAAATAGACACCTCTCCAAGTCATAGATGGCCCATAGACATAAGAAAATGTGTTCAATATCACTAGGTATCAGGATGCCAATTAAAATCACAATGAGATATCACTTCACACCTGTTAGAATGGCTGTCATTAATAAATCAACAAACAAGAAGTGTTTGCAAGGAAGTGGAGAAAAGGTAACACTGCTGGTGGGAGTGCAGGCTGGTGCAGCCACTGTGGAAAACAGTATGGAATTTCCTCAAAATAATAAAAATTGAACTGCCTTTTGACCTAGTGAATCCACTTCTTGGAATATATCCTAAGAATCCCAAATCACCAATTCTAAAGAATTGTGCACCCCTATGTTCAGAGCAGCACCATATACCATAGCCAAATATTGGAAACAGCCCAAGTGCCCATCGTTAAATGAGCAGATCAAACAACTATTCTACATTTAGACAATGAAGTACTACACAGCAGAAAGAATTCCTACGTTTTGCAAAAGCATGGATGGAATTGGAAAATATTTTACTAAGTGAAATAAGCTAGTTGATAAAAGATAAATACCATATGATGTCACCTATAAGAGGACTCTATGAACAAAATAGAACCACAGGCATGGAAACATGAACAGACTGAACAGTGAGAGGTGGGAGTAATGGTGGAAAGAAGGAGAAAAGTCTAGTCAAAGAACATACACATATGACCCACAGACATGGACAAGAGTGTGGGAATTGATTGTGGGAGTGGGGGTTGGAATAGGTAGGAGAGAGCAAAGAGAGGAAAATTGGCACAATTGTAATAGAAAAAATAACTAAAATTATAAAAAGAAAATGGTAAAGATGTATTTTTCCCATGTCATAGTCTGCTAACAATTTCCTCAACTGATATGCACCTCCATGATGTTGGGGATTTTAGACTTCTTCCCTCATGTACTGCTCCATCCTTTTCCCCACCCCAGGTGTTGTCATACCTACATAGTTGGAAAATGCTCACCACTGTGTCCACTGGTTCTGCTGTAAGCCAGCCCAGGGAGAGGAAGAGGGAAAGTGACAGTTAATTCTCCTTTAAGGGGAACATCTGGAAGTGGTATATGTCACTCCCAACTCAAATTCTGTCCATTAGACTCGTTTCTATGACCACTGCCTACCTGCAAAGAAGGCTGTGAATCAGGTCTTTTGGGGGACAGCCATGTGCTGAAACACCCCCAGGTTAAAATTTGGGGTTTCTATGACTTCAGAAAGGAGACAAAGAAAAGGAAATGGGGAATAACTAAGCCTTAAAATCTTTACTATGAGATAATACAAAATAGATATTGTTTTCTGTCCCTTGTTCCAGGCACAGAACTGAAACCCTTGTAATTTTCTAAGTGATAGAGCACTAGGTGCATCTTTTGTTGTAATGAGGTGACTCTGAGTGGGCCCACGGATCACTCCTGGATGAGGACTAGTCACCAAAAAGGCCAACCCATGATTAAAAGCTTGGAATCTTCAGCCCCGTACCCACACCCACTTCTCCAGAGGGGACCTCTCCCCTCTCTGGAAATTGAGGTAATCATTGACTGTGGCTACTTGAAGAAGCCTCTATAAAATCCATAGTACAGGGTTCACAAGAGATTCCAGGTTGGCAACCAAATCCATATGAGGACAGGCATTCCTGTACTCAGGAATTGCCCAGACCTCACCCCATGTATTTCTTCATCTGGCTGTTCATCTGTATTCTTATTGCATTCATTATTACTGATATATAATAAGCTGATAAACATAGGTAAATATGTCCCTGAGTTCCATGAGCTGCTCTAGCAAATTAACTGATCCTAAGGAGAAAGTCATGGGAACTTCCAATTTACAGCAATATTAGATAGAAGTTGGAGATAACCTAGGGACCTACTAATTGGCATCTTCAGATTGACATCTGAAGTGGGGTGGGAGCAGTCTTGTGGAACTGAGCCTTAATATGTAAGATCTGATGCTATCTCCAGGTAGATGGTGTCAGAATTTGAGTAAATCATAGAACACTCAGTTGGTGTTATAGCAAATTGCTTGGTGTGAGAAAAACTCTTACTCATTTGGTGACCAGAAATGTCAGAAGTGAAGTATTCTACGTAAAAGTGAAGAAGTCATACAGGCGAGAAGTACAGAGAAAGGAAAGGAAAAGATAGGGAATTTTATTATATTTTCTTTATAGCTGCAGGAAAACTCCTGAAGGAGGAGAAGTAGGAGGCTGGTCATGCACATCTAAACCAGAGGTCTCAAATAGAACTATTGTGGGTGCCCTGGCTAAAACCAAGGTCTATGTGTGCATCCAGGGAAAGGAGAAAAGGTTTTCTTGGCTTGATTTTGGGTTTGGATAGGCCTGTGCTCAAAGTGTTGCTGGCTCTTCTGCTGTGAAGGACTGTTCTCAGGGAAGCCAGGGCTGACCCTTCTGAATGTTTCACACTGGGGGAAGCATGAAAGGACTGGCTGAGGCCAGTTGCGTAAGCCTGAATCCCCCTGTTAATGCCCTGGCTCTAGAGATGTTTGAGGCAAAACAATGTGGGCCCAGGAAAAGGCAGATGTGGCATTTGTCTGTTAAGGCAGGTCCATAACCCCCTTGAGCATTGCCCTAGTATGAAATGCCAATCTAGGGCAATGGCCCCATGGTGATCCCAGGGCTGCCTCCCACTGCAGTGTCCTCTGGTCAGGGGTCAGCTGAGGCCTTTTTTTTTGCCCTAGGGAGGCTCCAACAACAGACCACATTTGCTGATGGAGCTGGGTTGCATCACAGTCAGCTTCTTCAGACCTTCCTGCTTCGTCCCCTTGCTGTCTGTCAGTGGAGCAGGGTGGGAGGGAGATTACCCCTGCAAACCTCTTAACTCTGTTTTAGCACCCACTTTCTGAGGCTGGAGCTGACACACATTCATTTCTCACTTCTGTATCTCTCTTCCCAGGGCAAGTAGCTCTCCAGGGCCTCAAAACCTAGCTTTTGTGTCAGGACTTGCAGGGCCACCCAGGGCACACCCAGACAGGCAGGAAAGATGTGGGGTGCTGATTACTGCTGGTCAAAAACTTTATTCACCATGAGGCCATGTTCTCACCAAGCCAAATGTCACTCTGATTGGAGTTGGGGGGGCTAGGGTCCTGGGCAGAGATAGGAACAGGGATTGGAGGCAGGAGGCTACTACTGGCCACTTTAGGTGGAGGAACTGCGTACCCAGGCAGGGGCAAGAAGGACAATAAGGTTGCCAGGGGAGGCAGGTCAGGTTGTGGAATGTGAGATGGAGGCTTTCTTTTCACGAGACCTTTCTTCAGTACTCAAAAGTAACTGTCTTGATTCTCAGGTATTCATTCATGGCCGCCTCTCCTGCAAGACAGCACATGCCATTGGAATTATCATCACAGCAGCTTCTGCACTCGTTATTACCTTATGGAACCCTGCAGCAAGCGAGTGAGGTCAACTCTGACTCAGCTCCAGTCACAGGTGAGAAACCAACACCCAGGGGGTCACAGTGAGATAGGGGGCCAAGATTCCAACAGGCATTGGAATATAAAACCAATCTGTTGGAACCACTGTTCCAGAGATTTTCCCAGTTCCAACCACCTCTACTTAAGAGAGGGCAGGCTTATCAGGTCCAGAACAGCTAAGAAGCTCTCTGGTGCCTTCCAATTACCCAGATGTTCCAGCTTCTCCCACTGCTTCCTGCCAGCTAATTCCAGATCAAATTGTGACTGGGGAAAAGGGGTGCCTCAAGGGTCCCTGGGATCCTTGGAACTTCCTTGTGCTATGTGTCTGGTATGTTTCAGCCCCATAACCAGCATGAGGGGCTTGTGGCTGCCTAGCAACTCCCCTACCTACCAATGCTTGCCCAAGGAACCATGCTTCCCTGATGCTACTGCCCACCCTATTCTCACCACCAGCTGAAGCCCATTGAGGTCTCTGGCCCATCCCAGGTGGGATATTTGTAAGGCCTGGGCATAGTAGGAGGAGGGTCTGGGGGAACTCAGGAGGCAGACCCATAAGTGACAGAGATTATCTTGGGTACCCGCAGCCTCTCTGGATGATAGTTCTCTTGGATTTCCATGGAAGACACCAGGAAGGTAGCCCAGGGGAGGCCAGGACATAGGAGGCAGAAGTGTCCAGCATACATGTGTACATGGCATGTATTATGCACGTGCACCCTACTTCTGCATGTAGTGTTTGTAGAGTTAGGTTTGGGGGGGTATTGGTTTTTTTTTTCCCAGTGGCAGATCTAATTTTTATTTCTTTTTTTAATTTGCTTATCTCTTTTTTGTCTTTATTTTATTATTATTTTTAAATTAATTTTATTTAGTTATTTTTCAAGTACAGTTTTTTGTCTGTTTCTCCCATCCCAGCCTCTCCCGTCTCTTGCTCCCCACCTCCCTCCCATTTCCACCCCCCTTAGTTCTCGTCCCTGTGTCCTTCCTATTTGTTCCTCCAAATCCCTCTTGGGGGGGCGGTATTGTTGTGCTGCTTTCACAAGAGCCCTTGGAGCTTTCCTCAGAGATTCAAACATAGAGGGAAGGAGAAATAAAACAGTGACTGCCTTTTGATTTCACCCTCAGCCTGAACCTCCCTGAGAACCCGGATCTGGGCAGGGGAGGCCTGAAGGGATGGGGGTTCTAAGACACAGTGTGCTGCTCTCTCGTATCTTTTACTCCCTGCCAAGCTTGGCATCAGAACTGATTCCCAACTGGAGCTATTCCCCAGCTGCTGGTTTCTGGAGTGGCAGGCTGGGGGGAGTAGGACTCACCCTAAGTCACACAGCAACCCAGGGAAAGAGGAGTGAGTATTGGAGCAGAACTTCACTTTCCCGGGAGACAGGTCAGGCCAGGCTTCCATTTAGCTTGCCACCTAGGTGGCCTTGTCTCTATACTAGAGACTCACACTGCCCCAGTGGGAACACTTGGACCCATGACTTTCCTTCTCCCTGAAACCTTTTTTTGCCCTAGGGAGGCTCCAACAACAGACCACATTTGCTGATGGAGCTGGGTTGCATCACAGTCTGAGCATCAGATGAAGCCTGAGGCCTGACTGTGGCCCCTGGGCTCCTCAATCTGGCCTCTGTCTACCTCTTGGGTCTGCTCTCTTCCTGTCGTACCCAGCCCACACCCATACTAGCCTTTCTCTGTAGCTCTAAGACCAAAGCTGGTTCCCTCAGGACCTGCCATCCCCTCTCCCAGGAACACACATCCTCTGGTCTTTATGGCTGGCTCCTCTCACCACTGAAATCTCAGGGCAGGTGTTATGTCTTTAGAAAAGCCTTCCATGGTCCCTGGCTGAAGTCACCCTTCCAGTATCACTGCCCAGATTACTTTGTCTTTTCTGCTTTCTAGCACTCCTCACTTTCTAGAAGGATCTTGTTGGCTGCCTTACTTACAACTTGCCTTTCCTCAGTAGGAAGTGAACACCAACAACTATCTTTTCATTGTTAATACTCCCGGCCCCTGGGACAGAGCCTAGTACCAAGTGGCCTCTAATAGTACTTTAGGATTAGGTTACCCAGGTCTTTGCCAAATCCAGATTGCTTGAATCCTCCGAAGGGAGCGGCCACATCAGTCTTGTTGTATGTGTTGATAAACACGGTGCCTGCCTCCAGCTTCTCACTGACGTATAGGGCCTTGCTGATGTCCCTGGTGAAAACACCAGAGGCCAGGCCAAATTCTGTGGCATTGGCTCGGGACAGCACAGTGTCCACGTCACTGCAGGGAAAATCCAGGAAGAATTTGGTGAGGGAGTGTTGGGGAATATGGGATTCACAGAGACCTGCATCCTTTCCCCCAAAGGGGAGCCCACCCCTCTCCAACCTCCCCACCACTCAGGACCTTCTGAGTAAAAATGTGCCAGGCCTATAGCAAGACTGGAGGAGACAGGGCACCAGAGAAGAAAAGACAAAGTTAAAGACAGGAGGAAGACACACAGTAGGCGAAAAGAACCCTTCAGGTCATCAAAGATGAGCCCCTCACTTTACAGACAGTGGGACTGAAGCCTAAAGGAGGTAGGTGGGGTCCCCATCACACATGGAAATGCACATGTATTAGGTATTCCCCAGGGAGCCATGTTGAGGTGTCCCTTAAAGACTTAGCACAATATTTAGTTGATAGATGGCAGAAAAGCATCTTATTCTAATACAATCAGAATGTGATGATAATTGATCATTTTTGGACAGTTTGAAGTATAGTGTATTAGGAAAAGGTACCATTTTATAACATATTCAAAGGCTCTGTTCTGGAAAATAATAATAAAAGAAGTTATGGTAATTCAAATATGGTCACAGAGTCCAATCCCTCTCCCTTTAAACCCAGGCTGGCCTTATTGACTTGCTGGGCCAATAGTGCATGGTAAAAAATAGGTTCTGGGATTTCTGAGGTTGATCAATAGATCTTGAGGGGCCTTGAAGCTTCCCACCCCCGACTCGTGTGGGAATCAGGTATAGAACAGAGGCCTTGAGGCTGCCATTGGAGAAGGAAAACCTGCAGGGAGGCCCAGAGTCCATTTAAGGAAAACCACTCCAGGCATCGTTGCTGAGGCCTGGACATGGCACAGAGCAGAGGTGGTCAGCCCTATTGAATCCTAACCAAACTACAGATTCATAAATGAAATAAATAGCTGTTGCTATTCCAAGTCACTGAGTTTTGGGGTGGTTTATTACACAGAAGTAATTAGAACACAGACCAACACACCATGAGAGACATTCAAAGGCTCAGAGAATGTTCACATTGGGACCCAAAACCCTACCAGTCCCCTGGGCTCTCCTCACTTTAGTGGTTGACAAGGACTCAGCAGGCAGCCAGGCTGTACCCACAGCCTCCAACCTGTCTGGATTCTCCTCCTGCCCCCACATGTGAAGAATTCCATAATGCATGGCAAAAAATCGGGCTCTTAAGAGACATAAGCAGGTTCCCTACCCACTGGCAAACCGAGAGATGATCATGACAGGTCCAAAGGACTCTTCTTTGGCTATGAACATGTGGTCCTCCACATCTATGAAAACAGTTGGCTCGAAAAAGAAACCTGTGGGGAAAACAGAGGCCCATAACATGGGGGAAGGCCCTTTTCTAGTAGTCTAGCCTTTCCCCATCCAGGCTCGGTCCCACTAGCCACTGCATGCACATTCCACTCCAGTAATGCTATTTGTGATCTGTATGGTGAATGCCATATTCTGTGGGTGGCTTTCCTGCCCCAGACATGTGAGTTTATGTGAGCTTCACAACTCTTTCAACTAAATGCTGCTGAAGAAAACTAGGCTTAGAGTTCGTCTATGATAGAGCTAACATTTGGATCCAAGTCTGTCCAAGGTCAAAACCAAAGCTCAAGACTATGACAAAGACTTGGGTTTTTCTAGTGACATTTAATTTGAAAATATATCTGATGCTTTGGCTAGTGCAGCCTCCCATGTGGTTCTCCATTAGTTCCTGTGAAATGGCCAGGGTTGGGAAGAGGTTTTGGACACTGGTCCTCATGGACAGGACCTCCCAGGGCTGACCATCCTTCTTCTTCCTGGCACCACAATGTGGGTGCTTACTTCCCAGATGCAGGGTTAGTGCACTTGGCCAAGATACAGCCTTCTGCTCTTCTGTCAACATGGATCCACTATCTACTCAGGTCCCAAAAATTCTACGTCCTCATCTTGCCCTTCAGGTTAGGTGGTGGTGGTGGTGGTGGTGGTGGTGAAGGTTCCTGACTGTTCATGGTGGCTGGGTGCTGCACCCCCAAACTGCTCTTTCAACAGTGCCTTCATGTCTCTCTCTCATATCAACCCCTGAGCCCTGGCCCCATGGAATTCTCAGTAGAGTTGGGGTGGGAAAGAGTTAGGTAAACAGTGGCAGTACGGTGATCATAAAAATCTGTTGAGGTATAGGGTGCCTGAGAATGTTTGTCACAGAGTGATGGCCTGGGCCTGGCTGTCATCTAAGCTGGATAATGAGTTTACCAGGTGGGGAAAATGGGAAGGTGTTCACTAAGCAGAGGAGTGGAAAATGCATAGAGAACAAGAAGCTGCAAGATATGTTTAGAGGGAGAGGTAAGCATGGCCAGAACATGGGTCAAAGGCAAACAATTAGACACATATCATGAAAACAGGTGGGCATTTGAGAAATTTGAGTTTGCAACTGCATGAGAATGGGTCACTGTGGGAGTGTTTCAATATTGGTGGATGCATGACCTGACTTGTGGCAGCTGCATAAGTAATTGTTAGCAGGGTTTAAGAGATCCTGCAAGAAGTCACAGTGATGATGTGGCAAGAGATGCAGAGACTAACTCTGATGGTGGCAAGGATACAAGAAAGTCAAGAGAGATGTCTAGATGTAAGGTTATTTAATTACATAGGGGTTTGAGGGTTTCACAGCCTACACCCTGTCCTGAACCTCATTCCACATCCATTATACCCAGAGTACAGAGTTCGGAAGGAAGAAGATGGCAGTGAGGTAGGAGAAAGCAGATTCCTCTTCCCCTTACACACAGGAGAAAAACCTAGCTAATCTACGTAGGAACAGAGCAAGCAGCCAACAGTACCCCAGCATATATGAAAATAGGAGAACAAAAATTGTAGCGGACATTGAAAAACCAGATGAGTAGGTGGAAGCTGTAAACACCAGGATGCCTTCTGGAAGAGGAAACCCAACAACAAAAAAACACCAACAGATAACATAAGAAGGTGAAGGAGGGGGTGGAAGCCACACTAACCTCAATCCGGGACGTATCTGGAAATACAACTAAATAGTGGAGAAACTACCAAGAACAAACAACTGAACAAGAGAAAGAGAGAATCCTCAAAACCTTGTATACATGGAAGAACAAGCTTCAACACAACCTGCTCTCACCAGCACACACACACAAAAATACAAGAGGTAGTGGAGAGAGTGACCCTCAGTCAACCAGCTGGTGGGAAGGACCTACCAGAGAAAGACCCAACAACAATCAAAACTGAAAGACAAACGCAGAGCCAACTTAAATGTTAGCCCAAGACCAATGAGCTCAGTAGATCAAGGAGACTGCATCACTGAATCTCACAGGTCTTCTACCACAGAAGTTCATACTATAAGCGCAGGAAGCCAGAACAGATCAATTTAAGAAGCTGAGGCTAACAAGAACAGTCTCATAAACAATGGGAAGACAAAGAAACAATCAAGAATGCTAAATGAAATAGAGATAACTCAACTATCAGATATTGAGTTCAAAGCAATGATTATCAGGAAGCTCAATGAGCTAACAGACAATTACCAGAAACTACAGGGAAACTATAATGAACTCACTGCAAACTATATCAACATGAAAAAAAGAAATAGAAACTATCAACAAGGGCCAAGAGGAAATGAAGAATATAATTTCTGAACTGAAGAACACAGCAGAAGGAATCAAAAACAGGATCAATGAAGCAGAAGATCGCATCAGTGAGCTGGAAGACAAAGTAGAAAAAAAAACATGGAGAAAGAGCAAGAAAAGGAAAAGAGGCTCAGAAAGAGGTGTGAAGGGAAATGCAGAACAACATGAAATGTAACAATATCCATATAATAGGGATACCAGGATGAGGAGAAGAAGAGCCAGGGATAGAAAAGCTATTGGAAAAAGTAATGAGAGAAAAAGTCACACAAATCCAGGAAACACAGAGCATCCCAATCAAGAGGAACCCAAAGAGGCCCTCTTTAAATTACAACATCATTAAAATGGCAAAATTCCAAGACAAAGAGAGAATCCTAAAAGCAGCAAGGGAGAAATGGGAAATAACATACAAGGGAGCCCCGATAATGCTAGCAGCTGAATACTCAATGGAAATGCTCCAAGCCAGAAGAGAATGGCAAGAAATATTCCAAGTAATGAGAATCAGAGGCCTGCAACCAAGGCTACTTTATTCAGCAAGTCTCTCAATCAAGACAGAAGGCCAAATAAGGAGCTTCCCAGACAAAAGAAGTCTAAAAGAATACACCTCCACCAAACTAGCTCTGCAAAAGATGCTGAATGGACTGCTATAAGGAAAGATTGGAAAAGAGAAAGAGAGAGAGAGAGAGAGAGAGAGAGAGAGAGAGAGAGAGAGAGAGAGAGAGAGAGAGAAACACAGGGATGAAAATGGCAATGAGTAAGTACCTATCAATAATAACCTTAAATGTAAATTGATTAAATGCTCCAATCAAAAGACACAGAATAGCTGAATGGATAAGAAAGCATGACCTACACATATGCTGCCCACAAGAGACCCACCTCAGGACAAAAGACCATCACAGACTGAAAGTGAAGGGCTGGAAACTAATTTTCCAAGCAAACAGACAGAAAAAAAAGGCTGGGGTAGCAATTTTCATATCAGACAAAATGGACTTCAAAAAGGGGGCCATAAAGAGAGACCCAGAAGGTCACTTCTTAATACTCAAGGGAAGAATCCACAAAGAAGACATAAACATTATAAACATGTATATACCCGAAACAGGAGCACCCAAATACATAAAGAAAATCTTAGAGGACTTCAAGAAATATTGACAGCAACACAATTATAGTAGGGATAATAATATATAATATAGTATAAATATTTTATACTATAGTAATATAGTATAATTATTTTAATACCCCACTGTCAAAAATAGACAGATCTTCTGAACAAAACATCAACAAAGATAAGGTGGCACTGAAAACTGCCCTATATGAAATGGACTTAACTGATAAATAGAGAGAGACCTTCATCCCAAAAAAGCTAAATACACATTCTTTTCAAATGCACATGGAACATTTTTAAACACAGACCACATGACAGGACACAAAAAAATCCTGAACAAATTCAAGAAAATTGAAATCATACCAAGCATTTTCTCTGACCATAAGGGACTGAAACTAGAAACCAACCCCCAGGAAAAAAACCCAAAACATTCAAAATCATGGAGATTGAATAGCATGCTATTAAACAATGAATGGGTCAAGAATGAAATTAGGAAAGAAATCAAGAACTTCCTGGAAACAAACAAAAATGAACTCACAACAACCCAAAACTTATGAGACACAGCAAAGGCAGTCCTGAGAGGGAAGTTCAAAGTGATACAGGCCCACCTAAATAAAATTGACACATTTCAAACAAACAACCTAACCTTATGCCTACAAGAACTCGAGCAACAACAACAAAGATAGCCCAAAGCAAGCATAAGGAAGGAAATAACCAAGATCAGAGCAGAATTAAATGACATAGAGACTAAAAGCACAGTTCTAAGGATCAATAATCCAGGAGCTGGTTCTTTGAAAAGTTAAACAAAATTAAGAAGCCTTTAAGCAGGATTATCAAGAAAAAAAGAGAGAGGACCCAAATAAACACAAACAGAAATGTAAGAGGAGAAATTACAACTGATACCAAAGAAATACAAAGGATTGTAAGAAATTAGTATGAAGAACTGTATGCCAAGAAATTTGAAAACCTAGGTGAAATGGACAAATTTCTAGAAAAATATAATCTTCCAAAACTCAATGAAGAAGAAGCAGAAAGCCTGAACAGACCAATAACAGCAGATGAAATTGAAGCAGTAATCAAAAAGCTCCCAACCCACAAAAGCCCTGAACGAGATGGTTTCACAGAATTCCACAAAGCATTTAAGAAAGAGCTAACCCCTATCCTTCACATATTATTCCAAAAAATCCAAAATGATGGAAAACTCCCCAACTCTTTTATAAAGCCAGCATCATCCTAATCCCAAAACCAGATAAAGACACAACAAAGAAAGAAAACTTCAGGCCAATATCATTTATGAACATAGACACTAAAATCCTCAACAAAATATTCTCAAACCGCATCCAACAATACATTAAAAAGATCACACACCATGAGCAAGTGGGATTCATCTCAGGGGTGCAAGGATGGTACAATATTCACAAATCAGTAAATATAATATGTTACATAAACAAAAGCAAAGACAAAAACCACATGATCATATCAATAGATGTGGAAAAAGCATTTGATAAGGTACAGCACCCATTTATGATAAAAACACTCAGCAAAGTGGGAGTAGAGGGAGCATTCCTCAATATAATAAAGGCCATATATGAGAGACCTACAGCCAACATCATACTCAATAGGCAAAACTACAATCTTTTCCAGTAAGATCAGGAACAAGACAAGGATGTCCACTTTCACCACTTCTGCTCAATATAGTATTGGAAGTTTTATCCACAGTGATTAGACAAAAAAAAAAAAAGAAATAAAAGGCATCCAAATCAAAAAGGTGGAAACAAAACTGTCACTGTTTGCAGATTATATGATACTGTACATAGAAAATCCTATAAACTTGGATTTTCTATGTACAGTGGGTACATCCAAAAAACTGCTCAACCTAACAAATGCATTTGGCAAAACAGTGGGATACAAAATGAATACCCAGAAATAAAAGGCATTTTTGTATACCGACAATAAAACATAAGAAGCAGAAATTTTTTTAAAAATCCCATTTGAGGGACTTCCGCCAAGATGGAGAAGTAGGTGGAGGGTCCACCTCGCCTCTGTGCACAACCAAATCTAAGAACAACTATTTTTAACAGCAGTCACAACCAAGCCACACGGAAAATCGACAATACGGAGTCCAAAGGACAACTAGATACTCGGCTGGACCGGTACGAGGAGCGAGGCCAGAAGCAGAGCAGGTTAGCAAGAAAAAATCCCCGGGGCGGTGCACGGGGCGCACAGGCAACCGAGGGCTGATCGCCAGTGAGCTGGCTGCCGGAGCGCACAGGGAATAGGCGCGGTGGGTCGCTCAGTCGCGCGCATTTACGTGCGGAGAAACCAGTGAGAAGGGAAACCCCCGCGGTGCAGCAGGCTCGCAAAATTAGGATCGGATAAGCAAACCCGAGGCATTTGAGTGACTGGATGCGCTGGGCTAGCGGAGAGGAACGCCATCGCTCCCTCTCTGACCTCGCCCCCACACACAGCGTCACAAACCAGCGACCTGTGTCGCCCCGTCCTGGTAAACAACTAAGGCTTCGCTCCGCTCACTAAACAGCACGAATAATCCAAAAATGGCTCTAGAACAACTCAGAGCCCCAGAACCAATAGACCTAAGTGATGAAGAAATAGCCAGTCTTTCAGATGCACAGTTCAAAACACTGGTTATAAAGATCCTTACAGAACTGGTAGATTTTAGTCACAAATTAGAGAAACATATGGAAGCTAAATTAATTGAAATGAATGCTGATACAAAAGATACCAATAGTGATGGAAAGAAAATTGGGACTCAAATCAAGGGAGAGGACCAGACAGAAGAAAAAAGATGATCAAGCAGAAAGGAATGAAGAAATAAGAATTCAGAAAAATGAGGAGAGGCTTGGGAACCTCCAAGACATCTTTAAACGTTCCAACATCCGAATTATAGGGGTACCAGAAGGGGGAAAGGCACAACCACCAGTTGAAAAATTATTTGAACAAATAATAAAGGAGAATTTCCCCAAGATGGCAAAGGAAATAGACTTCCGAGAGATCCAGGAAGCTCGGAGAGTCCCAAAGAAGTTGGACCCGGGAAGGAACACACCAAGGCACATCATAATTACATTAGCCAAGATTAAAATGAAGGAGAGAATCCTAGAAGCAGCAAGAGCTAAGGGGACAGTCACCTACAAAGGAGTTCCCATCAGACTGTCAGCTGATTTCTCAAAAGAGACCTTACAGGCAAGAAGGGGCTGGAAAGAGGTATTCCAAGTCATGAAAACCAAAGATCTACAACCAAGATTGCTCTACCCAGCAAAACTTTCATTTAGAATGGAAGGACAGATAAAGTGCTTCTCAGATAAGGTCAAATTCAAGGAGTTCATCATCACCAAGCCCTTACTATATGAAATGTTAAAGGGACTTACCTAAGAAAAAGAAGATAAAAAAGATGAACAGTGAAAGGACAGCAAACTCACAGTTATTAAGAACCACACCTAAAACAAAAGCAAACTAAGAGGATAGCTAGATCAGGAGCAGAACCATAGAAATGAAGATCACAGGGAGGGTTAGCAACAGGGGAGTGGGAGGAGGAGAAGGGGGGAGAAGGTACAGAAAATAAGTAGTATAGACAGTAGATAGAAAATAGATAGGGGGGAGGGTAAGAATAGTAGGGGAAATACAGAATCTAAAGAATTTGAGACACATGTTCATGAACTAAAGGGGGAAATGGTGGGGGAGGGGTATGCAGGGTGGAGGGGAAGGGAGGGGGGAATAGAGCAAATGTAATGGCATAATCAATAAAAAATAAAAAATAAAAATAAAAAAAAATAAAAAAAAATAAAAATCCCATTTGATATAGCAACAGGAAAAATAAAATACCTAGGAATACACCTAACCAAGAAGGTAATAGTCCTGTATTCAGAAAACTATACAACACTGAAAAAAGAAATCAAGGAAGACACAAACAAATGGAAACATATACTGTGTCCATGGATTGGAAGAGTTTACACCATCAAAATGTCGATATTACCTAAAGCAATTTACAGATTCAATGCAATACCTATTAAAGTACCAATGGCATATTTCACAGACATAGAACAAACACTTCAAAAATTTATATGGAACCATAAATGATCACAAATAGCTGCCACACTTTTGAGAAAGAAGAGCAGTAGGTGGGATCACAATACCTGATATCAAGCTGTATTACAAGGCCACTTTAATCAAAACAGCCTGGTACTGGCATAAAAACAGGCACTTGGACCAATGGAACAGAATAGAGAGCCCAGAAATAAACCCTAGTCTCTATGGTCAATTCATATTCAACATGGAAGCAGCAACATAAAATGGAGTAAAAATAGCCTCTTCAACAAATGGAGTTGGGAGAACTGGAAAGATGCGTGCAAAAAAAAAAAAAAGAAACACAAGCACCAACTTACACCATACACCAAAATAAATTCAAGGTCGATAAAAGACTTAAATATAAGCCATGACACCATTAAAGTCCTAGAGAACATAGGCAGGAAAATCTCAGATATTTCACACAGCAACATTTTTACTGATATATCCCATAGAGCAAGAAACATAAAGGAATGAATAAACAAATGGCAGGGGCATCTCACCAAAATAAAAAGCTTCGTGGCTAAAAAAAAAAAAAACTATTAAAATAAAAAAAGAACCAACTGTATGGGAAAACACATTTGTCAATGGTACCTTGGACAAGGGTTTAATCTCCAAAATATAAAAAGAACTTACATGACTCCACTCTAAGATAAGCAACCCAATTAAAAAATGGGCAAAGAACTTGAACAGACAATTCTCCATGGAGGACATACAGAGCATCCAGAGACACATGAAAAGATGCTCAGTATTGCTAGCTTTCAGAGAAATGCAAATTAAAACCACAATGAGATAACACTCCAGACCAGTCAGAATGGGCATCATAAACAAAGCAACAAACAAGTGTTGGAGAGGTTGTGGAGAAAAGGGGACCCTGGTACACTATTGGTGGGATTGCACACTGGTACAACCACTATGGAAAACAGTATGGAATTTTCTCAGAAAACTGAAAATGGACCTGTCCTTTTGACCCAGCATTTGCACTGCTGGGATTATATCCTAAGAACCCTGAAACACCAATCCAAAATAACCTATGCACCCCAATGTTAACAGCAGCACAATTTACAATAGCCAAGAGTTGGAAGCAACCTAGGTGCCCATTAGTAAATGAATGGATTAAAAATCTATGGTACATTTACACAATGGAATGGTATGCAGCAGAAAGAAAGAAGCTCCTTCCCTTTGGGACAGCATGGAGGGAACTGGAAAGCATTATGTGGAGTGAAATAAGCCAGGTGGTGAAAGACAAATACTGTATGATCTCATCTTTATCAGCAACCTAAACAACAAAACAAACAAACAAGCAAAATGTAACCAAAGACACTGAAATAGAGAATAGGCTGACAGTGACCAGAGGGGAGGGAATTGCAGGGGAAAAGTGGAAGGGTTTATAGGAAGAAGTATAAAGGACACATGAACAAAAAAAACTAGGGAAAGGAGGTGGAAATGGGAAGGAGGTGGGGAGGGCTGAGGAGGTGGGCTGGGATGGAAGTATAAGACAGAAAACTGTAGTTGAACAACAATTAAAACAAACAAACAAACAAATAAATAAATAAGAAAAAAGATTATTTGATTAAATGACTTAAAAGTAAGGGGTCAAGAAAAGAGAGGAGTCAAGCATTTATTCTTTCTCAGGTTCTCGTCAAGATGGTGGTGTATGCAGAAATGGTTCACCTCTCCTCACAACCACATCAAAATTACAACTGAAATATAGAACTACCATCACACAGAACCATGAGAAATAGAGTGAAATGGTAGTCTGACAACTATGGAATTAAAGGAACTGCGTCCATCCAAATTGGTAAGAGGGATGCAGATGCTGAAGGGGCTGGTCTCTCACCCACATGTGGTGGATAAAAATTTGGAAACAAGGAGTCCCAGCTTTACACTGGGCCCCCCAGCCCGGAATTCCAGTGCCAGAAAAATAATTCCCCACAACTCCTGACTGCAAAAATTAGTAGGGATTAAGTTGGTGGAAGAAACAGCTGGAATGCCAAGCAGTTCCTCTTAAAGAACCCACACGTGGACTCACCTACTCACACTCACTCCCTCAGACTTCCAGTGCCAGGGTAGCAGCTTGAAGAGCATAAGTGACATACTGGGAGAGGCTGAAGTGCTTTTCACCAAGGCAAGCAGAGGTCTTTTCTGAGCTTTCCCCAGACAGAGCCATTGAACTTGAAGGCTGGTGCCATATTTGAGACTCCATCAACCTGGCTAACACTGTTTGACCCACCTTGGAGACCCCCAGAGACTCCATTCCACCCAACTTATGGGCCCACCCAAGCTGCTGGTCTTGGCTCATGCTTCACAACTTCCTAAATCCTATCAAACAAGCAACAGCTGGCCTCATTGAGCTCCAGACTGGCCATTAGCAGCAGCTAGATTAATTTCCCAGCTTGGTTTCACCTGAGAATCTCCGAGCCCAGCACAAATAGCAGCCCTCTCAGGTTGCTTTATAGCTCAGGAAAGGCAGCCCTGAGTAAAACACAGGTGGGGGAACCTACCTGGTCTGCACCACCTGGGACACCCCAGGGCCAGCGCACCCAGTGGACAATTACGGACCACTCTGCAGCACCACCACCCTGCCCCTGCACAGCTAATCCTCCATTTAAGGCGGAGGTTGGTGGTAAGAGGGTAACAGCTAACCCTTGTAGCTGACTGGCCTGGGTGAAAGTCTCCCATTGATCTGCCAACTGAAACCAAGGCTCAACTACAAGAGGAAGGTGTACACAGCTCACATGAAGAGTGTACCTTGAATTCCCAGCTTAGATGATAGGGGAGGCTGTGCCACTGGGTCCTACAGACTAGTTACTACACTAGGGCATACTACCAACATATGGAGTCAAAATAGCTCTAGCTAATACATAGAAACACAGGAAGGCTGCCAAAAGGAGATGAAGATATAATGGCCCAAATGAAAGAACAGATCAAAACTCCTGAAAAAGCACTAAATGAAATGGAGATAAGCAATCTATCAGAGGCAGAGTTCAAAACTGTGGTTATAAGTATGTTCAAGGAACTTAGTGAGGACCTCAGCAGCATAAGAAACATCCAGTCAGAAATGAAGGACACACTGATTGAAATAAAGAAAAATTTATAGGGAAACAACAGTAGAGTGGATGAAGCCAAGAATCAAATAAATGATTTGGAACATAAGGATGAAAAAAACAACCAATCAGAACAAGATGAAAAAGATGCAAAACAATGAGGGCAGTATAAGTAGCCTCTGGGACAACTTCAAGCATTCCAACATTTGCATGAATGGGGTGCCCAAGAAGAGAAAGAGCAAGAAATCGGAACTCTATTTGAAAAAATAATGAAAGAAAATTTCCCTAATTTGGTGAAGGAAATAGACATGCAAGTCCAGAAAGCACAGAGTCCCAATCAGGTTGGACCCAAAGAGTACCACACCAAGACACATTGTAATTAAAATATCAAGACTTAAAGATAATGAGAGAATCTTACAAGCAACAAGAGAAAAGGAGACAGTTACCTACAAAGGAGTTCCCATAAGACTGTCAGCTGATTTCTCAAAAGAAACTTTGCAGGCAAGAGGGGGCTGGCAAGAAGTATTCAAAGTGATGAAAAGCAAGGATCTACAACCAAGATTACTCTATCCAGAAGCTGAAATGCTTCCCAAACAAAGCAAAGCTAAAGAAATTCATCACCACCAAGCCATTATTACACAAAATATTGAAGAGACTTATTTAAGAAAATGAAGCCCTGGCTGGTGTAGCTCAGTGGATTGAGTGTGGGCCTATGAACCAAAGCATTGAGGTTCGATTCTCAGTCAGGGAACATGCCTGGGTTGCAAGTTAGTTCCCAGCAGGGAATGCATGAGAGGCAACCATACATTGATATTTCTCTCCCTCTCTCCTTCTCTTCTACCTCTAAAGATAAATAAATAAAATCTTTTTAAAAAAGAAGAAAATTAAACCTACAGACATTAAAATGACAATGAACTCACAACTATTAACAACTGATCTAAAAAACTAAAACAAAAAAAACTAAGAAAACAACTAGAACAGGAACAGAATCATAGGTCTGGGGATCATTTGAAGGTTATCAGCTGGGAGGGGAAAGAGGGAGCAAGCGGGAGAAAGGAGGAAATGGTGCAGGGATCAAAAAGCATAATTGGTAGGAACAAAATAGACAGGGGTGTTAAGAGTAGCACAGGAAGTGGAGAAGCCAAAAAACTTATATACATCACCCATGGGTATGAACTAAGCAGGGGGGGTGTGGATTGCTAGCGGGAAGGGGGGTACCAGGTAGAGAGGAGGAAAGGAAAAACTATTGGGACAACTGTAACCACATAATCAATAAAATACACTTTTTAGACTTCCGCCAAGATGGAGGCATAGGTGGATGTGCCGTGCCTTCTCACACAACCAAGTTTAGAGACAATTAAATATTAGCAACAGAAAACACAGCCAGAACACGGAAAATTGAACTTTTCGGAAGTCCATTAACAACAAATTCTTCAGTCTGACCGTTTAGAGATGAAATAGAATTTATTTGGCAGTTTGCTCGTGCTTATGGAGACATGTATGAGCTCTCTACAAATATACAAGAAAAGAAACATTACGCTAATATTGGAAAGACATTAGGTGAAAAAGCTATAACTAGAGCACCCATGAATGGACACTGTCATCTGTGGTACGCGATTTTGTGTGGCTATGTATCTGAGTTCGAGGGTTTACAAAACAAAATCAACTGTGGACATCGCTTCAAGGAACATCTAGATAAAGCAATCCAATTATTACCTGAAGAACCCTTTTTGTATTACCTCAAGGGAAGATACTGTTACACTGTCTCCAAACTGAGCTGGATTGAGAAAAAAATGGCTGCTACTCTATTTGGAGAAATACCGTCCTCAACTGTACAAGAAGCTTTACAAAATTTCCAAAAGGTCGAAGATCTGTACCCTGGTTTTTCTAAGTGCAATTACCTGTTCCTTGCCAAGTGTTCTGTGGATCTTAAGAAAAGAGAGGATGCCATGAAGTTCTGTAACCTGGTGATGCTGCTTCCCTGTGTCACCAGAGAGGATAAAGATGCAGAGGATGAGGTGAAAAAAATAAGCACTACCTTGAAGAGGTAAATTAAAGAACATACTCGTCAACAAATCAGATGTGGCTACTAAATTTTAAACTCATTAAAGCTGTGATTTTTATTATCCTTTTCTCGCTATATTGGGTAATGTGCTCAGTTTTGAAGGTAAAACCCCATTTCTGCAGAGTGCATTCACTTAGCACACCACAAAACTAATCATGCTCTTTGGAGGAGTCTTTTTCCTGTAATGTCAGTGCAAAATGTTCTTTAAACGTGTATGCTTTATATTTTTCCTATTGATAAACTACCATACTCTTCAGAATATTTCTTTAAATAAAATACTTAAATCAATCCAAAAAAATAAAATAAAATACACTTTTTAAAACAGGGAGGGGATAATGGGGGGAGGGGGAAGGGTTTTCAGGAACTATAAAGGACACATGGACAAAACCAAGGCAGGGTGGTGGAAGCAAGAGAGGAAGTTGGGTTTGGCTGGGGTGAGGGAGAGTGGTGGTAGCTAAATGCAAACAACTATCATTAAACAACAATAAAATAATTTAAAAACAAAAACAACTAGATCCAGGCAATATTTCTTATAACTTTTCAAAGCTACATGATGATTTTAAAATCATATTTATAGAAACAATTTACTGGCTTTAAAATTAATTTTGGTATTATATGGTATTTACTTAAAAGTAACTTTTGTTTTCAACAATAATTAAAACATATCAAAAGAAAAAAAACGAATTCATTCTTTCCATCTCTCCTTCATTCCATCAAATTAACTCAGCCTTGGCGTAGGCTCAGTGATAACACACGGGACCTAGTAGAGGAGACACATGGCTCCTGTCCAATTGCAGCAGGCAGTCTAATGGGGAAGCAGCTCAAATAGTCTGTATCTGTGGCTCCAGCTCCTCTGGCTCTGCTGACTTGATCAAATGGAAGATTCTACAGATGCAGCTGTATGTGTTTAGGGTCAGGTTGGGTCTGGAAACACTACAATGATGTGAGGATGTATTTGGTACCCTTCAAGTTTGAAGGGCCTGGGAAACATGCAAGTGGAGGTGTTCAGGTGTTCAGGAGTTCTGAGTGAGGAGGAGCCTGAAGACAGATATTTGGGAAGGTCTGAGCAATTGCAGAGACTGAGATCTTCTAGGGAAAGTATCTAACATGAGAAGTGCTTCAAATTCAGGACAGACCTGGGGATATATCTACATTTAAGGGAGGGTGGAGAGAAAGCGTCCAGCAAAGAGCAACTGCCAGGAAGTAGTGGCCAAATATAGGAAAACCATGAAATGCAGGGCCATGGAACCCTGTGGGAGGAAAGAATATCTAGGATGTAGTGATGTAAGTTGCAAGTCAGAGTCCACTACAATACAGATTAAACTAGCACTGACTACGCTTCCAAGTCTGGTGCCTTTACCTTGCCAGTTCCATACTTGGTCTAAATAGCCAGGTGTCTAAATAGCCAATGCCACCCCATCCAAGATCCTGGATGGGGCCTGAGACTAGGGAACCTGACTGTGTATGTATGTGGCCTTCAGATACCTGTAGTTAGTGCTGGGCAGAAAACCACAAGCCATGCTACCTGTTGCTTCAGTTTGCCCAAGTGGGCCAGGAGTGTTCTGACTGACCTGGCCGAGGGACTTGTTTTCCACCACAGACCAGTGTGGCTCCTTCCTTAATACCACGCTGGCAATACTCTATTAGCTTCTGTAGGTGGGCTTGGTTATTCTGTGGCCCATGGTTGGTGTCCCGGTCAAGAGGATTGCCAATCTTCATCTTCTGCACCTCTTCTACCTGCAGAAAGTCCTTCTAATCAGGTTTCATTCAGGTTCTGAAGTTTCTGATTTTGCTCATCACCTGACTCCCCTCCATGTTTGTATTTTCAGTGACAAACCTGGCCCCTTAAGAAAGTCCAAACACTGGTTTCTTGCACTTGGGGCATTCCATATTCTTGTTCCCAACCTGCCTTCCAGGCTGAAACTCAAATGTACGCTATGTGCAAGGAAACCCAAGCCTAGTATCAGAATGATTGGGAAACATAGTTGTGCAGGGATATAGGTGAATGTAAAATAAAGGCAGGAGTGCTTATGAGGGGGGCCAGCATAGGGTGTGTCTCTACACTGGTCCTGCACCCAGTTTTGCAAACTAAGAAACTGAAGGAAGGCTTCTCCCAGGACTCCAGGATATGGGATGGGGAAACACCAGTCCTGCTATAATTCCCTGGTGACAAGGTGGGACAGACACTGAGTGAAATGTACTATGGGAGGGGTCTTGGCTAAGTTGAGCCAGCCAGAGTTCCCCCAAACCTACTATGCATGAATGGATCAAGATGGACCAGACCCAATCACACCTACCCACATCCTTTCCCACAGTCTGTTCCAACAGAATTGGTGGGGAAAAAGTGATCTTATTTTCTGTATCTGTTGTAAGAATGTAGGAAATGCTGTTGGTACCCCATCCCATTTCCTTAACCAGTGGGCACCCACTCCACAGTGGCTGTGAAAGATAGCTGCTGTCAAGTCCCAGGAGCTGACTGAAACTGCCCTCCCCCAGCAGGTGGACAAGCTACAGTCAACACTGTTGACAGGAGATAAAATCCTGGCCCTTCAACTCCAGGGGTACAGCTGAGTGATATCATTTGTGCTCTCAAGCATCCAGGTCAGGCCAAGGCTGGATGTCACCTGAGACCATGTCCTCAGTGTATGTTTTCTACTGGACCCTGGTCTTCCAGGCTTCCTACTGAGTGCTCGCCTCTGATAAGCCACATGAATTCCTGGCTCAGGCTGTACTGCTAGGGAGGCAACCTAAGATAAACCCTTTTTGGTTATATCGATTTTAGCTACTAGGTTTCCATTTCTTGCTAAAATACTAAAATACAGAGACTTGATACAGTTTGCTGTGAAGTTTCCCTGTCCCAAGGTGAACTGTGACCTTGGGCCATGGCTGAGCAACTCCACCTGGCCCATGCCCCCTTTAGCCCAGATGACTGTATACCAGTACCAAGGCCCTGTGGCAGATCTTACCACCTTCTGCACAAACTGGTCATGTATTGAGTCCTCTACGAAGAGCCGGCCCGCTGCAATGCAGTTCTCGCCTTTGTTGAAGAAGACGGAGCTCATCCCCTTTGGCAAATGGACAAGAATGCTGAATTACAGCTGCTCTCTTGCAGGGCAGGCAGCTCCCCACTCCCACTAGGCTCCAGTACCCCTTCATAAAGAAAAGAAGAGGAATGTACATGTCCTGACCTACTAAGGTGGCCAGGCCTAGCCAGTGCTTGGAATATACATGCATTTCTTAGTCAAACTGAGAGGAGAGGCAAAAGGTTACTTGCCCCTGAGAAACAAGGCCTGTGTCCACATTGAAGATAATGAAAGAGAAGAGGAAGTGAAGTGGGATGAGCATGGAGAACCCCAGGAGTTCCCTGGGGTGACTCAAGGAATCAGAGCCCACACACTTAGAGTTGAGCCTAGAGAATCTGTTAGCACAAAACAAGCAAAAGAGGGTGGGCAAAGACAGGCAGCCAGCCCATCTTAGGACAGGGTTGCAAGCCAGAATTGAGGGAACTCCTGGCAGGAGTCCAGAATAAATGTACATACAGGACCAAGGGAGACTGCTTCTAGACCCAGGAGTCCCATGTGAGGGACCAGGGAAGGAGAGACAAGGCTGGATGCTTGGCTTTCCTGCAAGTTGGATTGTACTGCCCTGCAGCCTGGGCCTCCAGCCCAGTAGTGTCATTTCAGCACCAGAACCAAGATCCTTAGGCTGATGGACTGGCCTCCTTCAGTTTCCCCATCTAGTGAAGTTGGACTCCCTTTCATATCTGTGTTGGGTGGCCACATCATCTTCCAAGGCACAGTGGGACTTAGGTGGGGTGGAAGCATAGCTGGGCACCTGGCTGAACATTGTTATGTTGTTCATAACAATGTTCAGCCAGGGACTGAGACATAACAATGACAATGACAATACTAATGTAAAAAGAACTGATACACAGCACATGCTACATGTGGCTACCATTCTAAGTCCTTCAGACATACTAGCTTGTTTAATCCTTGTAACCGTAGGAGGTAGGTGCACTATTCTCCCCATCATACAGGTTAAACCATGGAGGCCCAGAAAGGTTAAGTAACATGCCTAAGACTTCCCAGTGGGTCAGTGGTATAGGGCAAGTGTGGAAACAGCCATAACCAAAGGATGAGGGTGGGGATTGCTGCCAGCAGAATTTTGCCCAAGTGCTGAGGGTTCTGCTTTGCTTTCCTAGGATAGAAAAGGTTGCCGTGATGATTTTAGCATGTGTCCCAATCCATGAAGCTGATTCCAGTTATGCTTATAGTTATGACACTTCCTGGAAAATTTATTTTCAAGGGCATATGTCATTTGTTGTCCCCAAGTCCCTTCCTGCCACAGTCTATGCTTGTAGTGACACTACAGTCCAGGTTAAATGTGTGAGTCTGAATATAGGATCAGAGAAAGCTTCCCCCCTCCACCTCTCACCCTGCATGCAGTTCAGCCCTCACCATCTGCACAGCCTTGCTGAGGTCACAGTCAGCGAAGATGATAAGGGGTGACTTCCCACCTAGCTCCAGGGACACTTTCTTCACGTTACTCAGGGCACAGCTGAAAGAAACAGTGTTCGTGGAGTTGGATCCTTGGCAGATGGGTACACAAGGGTTCCAGGTAGAGGGAGCCAGGGGCAGCTCCAAACATGCTTTACTTGAAAAAGCAAGCAGAGGGTTGGAAGGAACCCCATGTGAGGCCAGGTCCAGTACCTTCTCCTTACCCTACACAGGAAAACTACTCCCTCACACCTGCCCTTGCTCACTGGTTTTCCACTGTGCTTCTTCCACCTCCTGTTGGACCATGCTCACCTCAGGGCCTTGCTCTCACTGCCTCTCCTTTCAGTCACTCCTTCTTGAGGTGTCCCTAAAGGTCATTCCTTACCTCCTCCAGGCCAATATTCCAAGTGTCTTGTTAGTGTGCATGCCCTGACACCCCCTATAAAATCTAAACTTCTATGTACCATAGTACATCTGTCTGACCCCCATTCACCAGCACTTAAGCCCCACTGAAGTAAACAGGCATTTGTCTGGTCATGTCACTGTTGTTCAATAAATGTTGAACTAATAAATCAAACAGAACTATTCCCCAGTTGGCACAGCTGCAGTACTGTAGAGACTTTACACCTCGGATTTCAGTGATGGGTGCAAGCAGAATAGCTGGGAATTCTGTGCACATGGCACTTGTGGACATAAAATGGATTTATTGACATTGTCTTCAAAGGGACCTTCAGCAGACTGGGCAAGTGAAGCATAAGGCATGACACAGGGAAGGGGGCACTTCATTTAGAGCTGTTATAGAAGAACTCCCTTATTTCAGGAACCATTCACGAGGGCTGGAGAGGATTCTGGGAAGAAACCAGCAACAGAGCCACGGGATGTTGCCCCTCCAAATCCTTCTTGGAGTTCTTCGAGTGGACATTTCCAGAGTCCTACCTCAGCACTTTTCACAAACATGTTCAGATATAACTATCACTTATACACCACAAAACAGAGTGGCCAGCTTTTAAATCAGAAGAGGTAAATATGCTGCTATGACTGTTTGCAGTTAACTCCCCTGTTTTGTCTTCCATCTGTCTGTCCATCTGTCACTCCCTTGTTCTCTTTAATCACCATCTATTCAACACTGAGGCTTGCTCCACTACACTCAAAATGAATCAGAGCAGCCCCAACTGGTGTACTCACAGGCTGTGACATCAGCCTCTACTGACCCGAAAACATGATCCACCAGCTACACTGGCCATGGCTCCTGACCCAAAAGTGGATGTTACATAAGCCCATTGGCCCATTGTGATTGGCGCAAGCATGGTGCTCATTAGAGAATGGGGACACAGACCAGTCTAGCTCACAGAAGGCATGTGCAAGGCTGAGGCACATGAACCCCATCTTGTGGGGCACAGAGAGGCCTGTGAATTTGTGGGGACAGGGGCTGCAGGACTGTTCTAGGGAGAGAGAGCATTGCTCTGCATTAGGAGCTATAACAAGGAGACATTGTTTTAATACAAGAGAAGCTTTCCTCCCCGTAGACTGTCATGATGCAGTTGGACTCCCCACATAGGTGATTCTTGGTGCAGAGACAGAAGTGAGTGGTCATGTGTCCTTAGAGATCCTAAAAGTCAGTGGGCTCAGAAGAACCCTCAAGTACTGTCTATGTATACCCATCAAAGTGCAGATACCGCAAACCCACCCCAAAAATTCAGCTTCCGTGAAGTGGGGTCTAGATATCTGGTGATTGTCTTGGGGCAGCCAGGGTTATGAGCTGCTGCCCTGGGATCTGGCCCTGGGTACCACTCCAAGCTCATCCGCTGCATAGTCCAAAATCACTGAGCCTATAAAACACCTTCATTGAACTAGTGGGGAAACCAAGGCCTGGAAGGGTCAGAGGTTGGCCAAGTCATATCATGAATTAGTGACAGGGCCCAACATACAACCCGGCCAATTTGAGGACAACGTCCAAGGAATAAGGGAGTTGATGCTGTCCTAGGATCAGTGCCATCTACTACAAAAGGATGGAAGCCTCAAATACTAGCCACTTACATAGTGGCATTTTTATTTTCAGTAGCCACATTAAAAAAAAAAAACTAAAGTGAAACTGGTGAAATTAATCACAGTATACTTAATTTAATCAAAATAATAAAAGTCATTTCAACTTGTAATTGATGTTAAATTATTAATCAGGTACTTTACTTTGTGCGCCAAGTTTTGAAAACCTGGTGTTTTTTACAGTCCCCAGCACATTTCAATTCAGAGTAGCTGAATATTCCAGGTGCTCAGCAGTCACACGCAGCTCTTGCACCTCACTGACCCAAGTGAGCTCCCCAGAGCGACCACCACTGGCCATACCAAGCATTGTCATGCACTTGGGATCAGAACCTGCCTTAACCTGGCCTCTGGGAACAGCTGTGCACACGGAGGCTTGAGGAGCAGGATGCAGCTCACACACAGAACTATCCAAGCCCAGAGGCTGTGACCAGAGACACGGCTTCCATGGCAGTGGTGGCCTCACCCCCACACCCCAACCACCTACCTTTTCATGATATGCTTTCCCACCTCTGTGGAGCCTGTGAACCCAATCTTCCGCACATCGGGATGGTCTGAGAGTCTCTGGCCAACCAATGAGCCTGTGGATGGGCAAAGGGTGGGGGTGGTGAGAGAGTCAGGGAGGCATCTGAGGTGCCAGAGTGGGGAGGGATGAACCCCGTTACCCCTCACATGTCCACCTGAGACCAGAGTTCTGGGCTGTGCCCTGTGTGTTTAATGCCATCAGTTCCTGGGGCTCATTGGGTCTTGCTCCCTGTTAAGGGCATAATTGTATTCCCTCAAAATCCATATTTATAGATGTAGATGTGAACAACACCAACTCCATATCTGTGTCCTAGATTTCATTTCATTTTTCTAAGATTTCATTTATTTATCTTTAGAGGGGAAGAAAAGGAGAGAGGGAGAGAAATATCAATGTGTGGTTGCCTTTCATGTGTCCCCTGCTGGGAACTGGCCTGCAACCCAGGCATGTGCCCTGACTGGGAATCGAACTGCGTTCCTCTGGTTCACAGGCCTGTGCTCAATCCACTGAACTACACCAGCCAGGGCGATTTCATTTCATTTTTAAGTTTCATATTGTGACCTTTGACCAACCTCACTCTCCCTAGGAAGCCTATCAAAGCTTTCTAGATGATGATTATCTGTTTTCCTTAGAATGTACCCATAAATATTTTTGTTAGTAGCAGTCATAATGGCATGACAACCACAATAGATATCAAAGTGGTAATAATAGTACCAATTAAAACAATCATCCATCACAAGACCATTGGAGGTGGTCTTGTCCCTTTGTGTTGTCAGTCTTTAGCACCTCAGTCATACTATTAAACAATTACAGTAACGGGTCTATTAGAGGAGAATAGTCTGTACAGAGTTGCTGGGTCATCTCTTCCACTCTGATCTATCTTCCCATTAAGTAAATTCTGTTATATTCTATGGAGTGGCCCACTTCACCTTTCTTGCTATGGTGGCCATTATACCTTTGCCCCACCATCAGATGCATATGTTGAAGCCCTGAGCCCTAGTCACATGTGACTGTATTTAGAGACCAGGTTTTTAAAGAGGTAATTAAGGTCAAAAAGGTAATTAACCAAGGGTTATTATCCCTAGTCCAATCTGACTGGTGTCCTTATAAGAAGAGCAGGTTGGACAGACACACACACACACACACACACACACACACACACACACACGAAAGGTCCTGTGAAGACACAGGGAGAAGATGGCCATCCGAAAACCAAGAGAGAAGCCTCAGAAGGAACCAACCCTGCTCATGCTTTGATCTTGGACTTAGAGCCTCCAGAACTGTCAGAAATAAAGTGTGTTGTTTAAGCCCCCAGTCTGCGGTACCTTGTTACAACAGCCCAAACAAACTTATACCATCTACATGTGGCTTTCTATCTATTAAGGTAGACACCAAGGGTGCAGGCACCGAGACATCCAGCTCTCCCATGGTCTCCAGCAGAGACCCAAGGATTGCCTGGTCTGGCTGTGGGGGCAGTGATGCCCAGGCGTCACAGACTCCAATAGGCCTTCCTTGGGGATGCAGGCTGGCCAGGAAGGTCCCAGGCCTGGAGAGACTGGCTGTGGGGGGCCCTGGTATGCAGAACCCAGGCATTTGCTGCCCTGTCTATTTGCCCCATCTATTGGGAATGCTTGGAACCTGACTTGCCCCTTACCCTGTGACCTTCTCACTTCACCCCAAGCTCTGCCTACACCCTGCCCCAAAATGTGGTGAATTCCTATTCACCCTCAGATTTCCCTTTCAAATGAGGCTTCAGAGTGACCTCTCCCTATCCCACTGGCTCTGCACTGGGTTGCTCTGCCTGCCAGGGCACATCATGTAGCAGTACTTGTTCTGACTAAGTACATCTCCAGCTCCTGGAGCCCTGGCTCCCCCCACTTATAGCCCTTACCAGATCCTGGGAGGATGTTGACCACACCCTTGGGAATGCCCGCCTTCAAGGTCAGCTCTGCAAACTTCAAGGCTGTGAGTGGGGTCACCTAAGGAGGCAGGAAAAAAGACTGGGTCAGGAGGTATTGGGAAGAGGGGCTCTGTCATTCTCAGCAGCCTAGGTAGCAATCAGGCACGGGCAGCTGTGGCAGGAAGACCCATGGTGGAAGACATGTTCATGCCTCACCATAGTGGGTATCAGCAACCCAGCCAGCTTGTCAGGGGACAGGGCCTGCTAACCTTAGGTACCTTTCTACCACCTTCTCCTGGTAGGGTTCCAGCCCCTCTGCCAGGCCTGGGCCCCTCCCTGCATGTGTCACTGTTTACACTGATCCTTCATGGGGTACAGAGTCTGAGGACTGTGCAGTAGGGCATCACTCGCAGAAGGTTGCAGGGCATACCCTCTCCCTGCCCCCTCAGAAAAACTAGCCTCCTTCTCTCACTGTGGTGCTGCCTTAGCAGCCCACCTGCTGGGCCCTGGCAGCACCTCAGCCCAGGGAGGGCGTGGTGTTTCAGGGTCCAGCTGAGATTCTGATGACCACTCCACTGCTGGAGATAGTGCCCTGCCTTTGACTAGCCAGAACTGATCCTCCTCTGCAGAAGAAGGGAATAAATTTCTGGTTGAGGTAACTGTCCTAGTCAAGGTAAGGTTGTGCTCCACCCACCACCAGGCCTCAGGCTGAGGGGCCAAATCTCTGGGGTGCTGGCCCTGGGAGGAGGGTCTTTGTGTTTCCAAGGACAATGGGCTAATGCGGGTCTTCCAGGGACAACAGCTCCCCACATGAAAAGGGGGAAGGTTAAGGGTCATCTCAGGGGTTGTTTTGATGTTTAAATAAGCAAATGTATGTAAATTACTATTCTTGTGTTATATATGTTAAAATGTTCAAGGAGTGCCTAACTCTAGGCACTATACTACTATATATGCTAGCTATCATTATTATTTGGCAGAGGTGCAAATTGCCCCAAAGAAGCTGGGGCAGTGGGAGACCTCCTGGCTACACTGTTCAGAGTCACATGCCAGAGGATCTCACATCAGTTCCTAACTCCCCCCTGGAGGCAGGCAGGGAAGGAGCTGTTGTTGTCAATGTGCAGATGAAGAAGCAGAGGCTCATGGAGGAGGGGGTGTTTTCACCCCTGGAGGACCTTGTCCATGCCCTCCTGGCCTGCATGAGTAGCCCCTGATGTCCCACCTCTATGTCTCCTCTGTAAGGGGTTGGGGTGGCAAGTGCCCAAATCCCACTGCTCACCCCATTTCCCTCCAGAACTTTGGTCTCTGAGGCCAAATGGGAGATAATGGCACCAGCTTTCCTAATAGACCACCGTGGGGTGTCTCAGAGCATGGGGCCAGGGCAAGGAACAGCAAGCAAGGCTTCTGCTCCCCAGAATCCAAAATTCCGGAGCTGTGGAGAAATCCCTGACTCTGCTCACCAGACAACTGCAAACAGCATAGTTACCCTGAAGCAGCCAACCCATGGTGAAAAGAACACAGAACCTGCTTATGGCTGGCACTGGCCCTGCTGCACACTGCCTCTGCCCACTGTGAGCGGGGCCCACAGCAGGCTGGCTGTCATCAGCAGTACCCTTTCTCCCTTGAAAAGAAACCAGGACCACTGTTGGTAAAGGGGCTCATGGGCCATCTGGCTCCTCCCTTACATGGTGCTTCCCCATAACACCTCTACAGCCCATGGGCCCTGCCTATACCCACCTGGGTAGGCTTGATCACCACTGTGTTCCCAGCAGCCAGGCAGGCAGCTGTCTTCCAGGAGAGCATCATCAGGGGATAGTTCCAGGGGATAATAATGCCACAGACCCTACCATACAAAAGAAGAAGGCCTTCATCTCTCCACTCAGCTGGGGTACCCACAGTGGACCTACCAGCTGCCTCCTCACTCCCAGGCCTGCTATCTTCTCCAGAGCCAGACTTCTTGATATGGCACCAAAGGTGCTGCTGATGGAAAGGTGGAGAGATGGGGAAAGTTTCCTAGATGAAGCAGTGTATCCAGTCTGACAGGAGCTCTTCTTTCCAGGGCTTGATGGCATGGGACACTGGGCAGTTTCTGATGGGAGCTATGAGACCAGTCTAGGGGTACAGCTAGGTAGGGTGTGGTACCAGGCAATGGGGTTGGTGATAGCAGACAAGCATGGGTAAGAACCTGGCAGCTAGCAGGGACTGGGAGAGGGCTCTAGCTGACACAGCAGGCTGGGGGGATGTGTGATAGGGCCCAGGGTCACACAAGTAGTCCACAGGTGTGGGAGAGGGTTCTCCCATATGTGAGGTCAGGGATCAGTCCTATGAAGAAGAGAAACAGTCATCCTGGAAGACCTGATAAGGTTTGCCTGCCTTGAATTAAGACATGGCACCCAGTGCTGCACCATCTCTCAGTAGTGGAGAAAGCCGCTGTCTGAGCAGTGTCTCCATGGAAGGGAGGCCACCCCACAGTCCTGGGGAACCTGCAGGTGATACATGTGGTCCCAGCACACATTTGCCCCCGCCTTTCCCTTTGCTCTGCAGGAGTTAGTGCACACAAGAGCCCCACACTGACTATGAGACTGTATTCATCATCACCATCATCAACTTCATGACCACTATCACCATCAGAGAACACTTCCAAAAAGGATGACTACTTCGTTGAACCCAGGCAGTGGGAGTGGGTGATGAGAAGCCACAGGGTGTGGGGGCTGGCAGAGTAAGAGCAAGGGGGGTGCTGAGCAGGCATAGAGGCTGGCTCGGGGCCCCCCATGCCATCCTGTGAGTGATGGTGGCACACTGAGGGGTTAGAAAAGCTACTTTTGCACACCATATACACCCAGGAAACTCAAAGGGACAAGACAGGGAGAGGGACCAGAGTGAGTATTCCTGGGGAAGTGGTGAGGTCACCAGGGAAAGAGAGGGCTGGGTTGTGGGGTTTTCAAAACAGAAAAAGATGTCAGAGAAATAAGTCCCACTGTCATGGGCTGAATTGTGCCCTCCAAAATTCATATGCTGAAGTCCTAATTCCAGAGCCTCAGAATGTGACCTCATTTGGAAATAAGGCCGTGGCAAGTGTAATTAGTTAAGATCAGGCCTTACTGAAGTAGGGTGGACGCCTAACTCAATATGACTGCTGTCCTTGTGAAGAGCATGCTGTGTAAAAAAGGCAGAAACACAAGAGGGAACTCCACGTGAACATGCAGAGTCAGACAACACCAAAGATTACCGGGGAATCACCAGAAGGTAGGGGAGAGGGCTGGAGCAGTTTCTCCCTCATGGACTGAGAAAGAGCCAACCCTGACAAAGACACCTTGATCTGGCACTTCCACCCCCAAAGTGCTAACAAAACAGGTACGTGTTGTTTGAGCCTCCCAGTTCTTTGTTATGGTGACTCCAGTAAACCTCTGCGTGTATCAATATAGAGGAAAGGCTGTGTCCCCTGGGACCGGAGGTCTGCAGAGCAGGTACTTGCATGGGGTCAAGGCCAATGGGGGTGGAGGACACAAGGACAAGATGAATACATCCTTGGCTAAGCTACCATTAGAAGGCCTTTCCATTAGCCTCTGTGCCTCCTCTATTCCTGGTGACCTTTCTTAGTGGGACCCCATGGCTTTGGCTCCCCCAGCGTTGAGGCTTCTACCTCCCAGCCACGGCCCTGCTGCACTCTGCTTCATTGGGCACTGCAATGGGGTGACTCCTGCCTGTCCCAGGGTTCTGTCTTAAGCCAGTGCATAGCTGAGGGTGGGGTGAAGTGGCTGTGGCCTCGCTCCCCCAGATCAGTGCCCCATGTTAGCCCACTCTGCACTGGCCAGGGTAGCTGGTTGGTGCACACTGGCTGGAACTATTCCCTCCTCTGCCAGCAGACATTTTGAGAATGCCCTACGTGTGCCCTGGGGGTATAGCAGCCTCAGTTTGCATGATGTGTGTCATCCGGAAAACAAAATAAGATTGCAGGCTGCAGAGTAGGCTAATGTGGGGCACTGGTCTGGGGGAAAAGGCTGCCACACAAGTAACATCGAAATGACCGGGGACTAGAGGCTGGGGAAGGGGGTTGGTGCAAATACACAGAGGGCAGCATGGGTGTAGAGGATCCAGGGTCCATGAGGAGGCCAACGTGGCTGAGTGCTGTGAGGGGATAGACTCAAGGGCACAAGGCCAAAGTCAGGAGTCTGATTTCGTTTTAGGTGCACTGGGAGCCAGTGGAGAACACTAAGATAAGCAGTGAGATGGACTCACAATGTTTTTAATGTTTTCTAAACATCAGAAAAAGCTGGCCTATTGTCTTTCTCAGCACCAGGTAGGCATTCTTCTCCTCTCCCCATGGCTTAAGCTGTTTGGCCTGGTCTGGGGAACCCCTGCCCTGGAGTCTGGGCTGCCTGCCTCCAGGCTCACCCCTCCCTGTGGGCTAAAGGAGGGGTTTTCCTACATCCACAGCCCACTCTCCCTGGGCCATTGGGCCATCTAATGGTGAAACAAAGCCTCTTGTTGCTGGGTTCCAATCCTTCCCCTGTCCCTAGTTTTGCCTATGCTGACTGGACACTCTCCCTCTCTCTGTCTCTCTCTCTTTTTCCCACTGAGCACCTGTCTCTGCTCTTGCCTCTTCTCCACCAGTTTTTCTGTTCCTTGAGGTTGTGTAAGAGTCTTTCATTTTTAAGCACATTGATTATTCTCTTTTTAGATAAAACTTTTTAAAGATTTTATTTATTGATTTTTTAGAGAGAGGAGAAAGGAGGGGAAAGAGAGGGTAAGAAACATCAATAGGTTGCCTCTCACACATGTCCCCAACCAGGGACCTGGCCCACAACCTGGGCATGTTCCCTGACTGGAAATTGAACCGGTGACCCGGTGACCTTTCAGTTTGCAGGATGGCCCAACCCACTGAGCCACACCACTCAGGAAGCAGATAAGTTTGGGGGTATTTCCCACTGTAATGCCAACTGATACAATCTTAGTGTGTGGATTACATAGGATTTATATTTATAAAGTAGTTAAAATAGTGCCTGGCACAGAACAGGTACTACGGAAGTAGAAGTTGTTTTTATCCTGAGAATGGGCATTTTCATCAGTTTTGATCATTGTTGTACTTCCAGCTCCTGAAATGTCTGGCACATAGAGTTGACAAATAAGTAGATGTTCAATAAATACAAAAACAGAAGACGGTATCAGTGTCCCACACAGCGTGTTGCGTGAAGAGCATCAGCGGTGTGGCCACTCTCCCCTCTGTTCTGTGACTCACCCAATTGGCTCCTTCCTGGTCAAGGTCAGGTTTCGGTTGGGTCTGGCCTGGTTGATGGGGATGGTGGAGCCCTGGAAAAAGCATGGAGGGTGTCAGTGGGAGGGGGCTCCAGTTTGTCACACCTTCCCTCTGGGCAGCCAGACCAAACCTGGGGCCCAGGGAAGAGCAGGGTCTTCTCTATGTCCTGATGCCCCCACTACCCAGATGAGGAGGAGACCCAAACCTCCCAACTTATTATGTATAATGGGACATCTGAGTTCAGATACAGGTGGGGCAGACAGCCCACCTTTGTCATTGACTGAACCCAGCCCCGCTGAAACAGACGGGAGGCACAGAGCCCAGACCTGACAGAGGCACTGTGAGCTCTGCAGTCATGGGTCTCCCAGGGGAAGAGATGACCCATCACTGCCTGCAGCAGGCAAACTTCTGATAATAGCCTAGATGATGCCCTGATACCTGTGACCTGGGATACCACTAACTACCCCTTCTGGGATGATTAGGATGAGAAGATATGCAGGTGAGCCTAGCATAACAATAGGAGCCCCCATAAAAGCAGACAGTTTTCTCCAATTAGTGGCAGATAAGAGTCAGAGAGATTGGGGGAATGAAGGGCTTGGGTAAAGACCAGAGAGGGTTCTGCAGGAGCTGAGAGCAGCCCTGGTCGGCAATCAGCAAGGATCCAGGCCCTCAGTCCTGCCACGGAAGTGACCAAACCCGCCAAAACCAGAATGGGCCTGCAAGCAGGGTTTTCCCCAGAGCTTCAGGATAAGGCCCAGCCCCCACACCTTGATACTGAGCTTGTGATACCCTGTGGTAGAGCCCAGTGGAGACCACCTGGACTTCCCACCTGTAGAACTGGGAACTACTAAACAGTGTTGCCTTACACACTGAGTTGTGGTGGCCCACCTCCCTCACTGCCCACATCCTTCAGTCCTGTGGAGACAAGAGGAAGCATGAAGCCCAGACTTGACAGAGACACAGGAGGCCTGCAGCCATGTTACACAGCATTCAGAGTAATGTAGAGCCCTTGGAACTCCCTGCCGGGCCGGGCCTGCCTGTGTGAGCTCTTATGCAGTGGGTGGGAGCCTTGTGCCCACCTGGATCTTGTCACACCAGCCAGCAAAGTAGCGGAAGGTCTGGATGGACATGCCCACATGGGTCTTCAGGGCCAGTGTGTAGACAGCACCTGCATCCAGAGCCTCAATGGTGGCCAGCTCTTCCCGATGCTCTTCCATGAGGTCTGCCAACCTGGCCAAGGCATGGAGGAAGGAAGGAAGATGGGTTCGGGCCTGGCATGCTTTCTCAAGGCCCCTCTTCAAGGAGTCAGGAGTCCTGCCCTGCACACTCCAATGTGCTGACATCAGTTTCCTCATCTATGAGATGGAACAGTAAGATTTACTTCACTGGATGAGTGAGAATGATGCCTTCTGTTCTGCTCTCCACCCCTCTCTCCTTTTCTTCTTTCTCCAGATCTTGGTGAATTGACTACCTTATCATAGCCCCCAACACATGACCCTGCAGAGGAGGCTGCCTGCCTCCAACAAGGAAGTCACCATCCCAGGAGGCCAACCTCTCTCTTTCCAGATGGCCTCCACCAGGGGAAAGCCTGTCCAGCTTCCAGCACCAGTGAATCCAATGGAAACTGCTTCCAAGGCTGGTGTCTCCAGGGATGGAAAGAGGGATGACAGGAGAGATGTGAAGGAAGGCATGTCTACACAACTCTCCTGGAGTCTGAGCAGAATCATGTCCAGTTGTTCTCCCAAGATTCTGGTGGGCATGCCGCTGCGGTCAGCCTAGGAATTAGAATAGTTCCCCCCCTTCCTGGTGTGAGGGTCATATGCGCCTGGCAGGCAGGGTGAACTGGCAAAGGTAGGGACCACTGATCTAGAGGAGCCCTCAATCTCGTACATGGGGAAGGTCGAGCTCAGAGACAAGTGTGTGATCAAAGCCTACTGACCTCTTCCCGTTCTTTTCCTTTCTACGTACAGCCACTGGCAAGGCCCTAATACTACCAGGTCTTTTTCAGTCTTCCTGCCTACACCTCCAGTTCTCCCAGTGGCTGCCCACAGCACTCAGGATGCAGCCCCTACCCTGTGTCTGAGTGACTAGCCCCAAGGGCCTGCCTAATTCCTCCTGGGGCTATGGCACCCACTTGCCTGTGATCTTTGGGAGCCATGTGGCATGCCATGGGCCCACACCGCTCTTCCTGTACTCGTTTCCCCCCTCAACCTTCTGCACCTCTTTCAGACCCTCTGGAAAGCTGACCTTAACCCTACCCACTGCAAAGCAATCAATCCTGTCTCCCTGCAGTGTCCTCATAGCATCCTTGCCTTTTTTCAAACCTCTCCCAACTGCCACTGACATTCACTTAGATGAGTATTTCAGTACTACTGCCTCACCCATGAGGGCAGGGACAGCATCTGGTCTCCTGCTCCTCACCAGGCACATGGGCTCCATGCCGTGGAAGATTGGTGAGTGAAACTGTGGACTGAATAAGCACAACAAATTAGCAGCAGAGCCACACTGTCACCTCACAAACAGTGCCCAGGTCACTCTATGGGTAAATCACTTTTTGAGAAGAATTATAGACCAAGTATTGAAAACACAATGTTGTGTATTTCAAGGACTAGGGTTCTATTGGCTACAAGGACAAGTGAGCCAAAGACACAAATCTATATTACAAATGAGCCAAAGATAGCCCCCAGGTTGCCAGGGAGGTTCTATGTTGTCTCCCTGGAGTGCCGGAGGGCTGGCTGGTAGCTTTCTCTAACTCTCCTTTCTGGATCTCTCTTTCCAGCTTCTACAATTTCTAGCATCATGTCTTATTTCTATAATGCCTTCCATATTCCATCATACCCATGGTGGTCCTACTTCCCTCACTGAACCAGGGGTGTTCTGCAGCCACTTCTCTGGGGAATTCTCTCCTGCCCCCTTCCAGGGCAGCAATGGGCACACCTCTTCCCTGGGGATGGGGAGGCTGATGAGGCAGGGAGCAGATCTCTAGGAGATTTCAGGCATTGAGATATCTGTCTACCCAGTTGGAGTCTCCACTTAAAGCTCTGCAGAGAAACAGCTCCTCATTATCTTTGTTGTTAGTGGGGTTATTACATGTACCACCAGATGGTAGGAGAGTATTTCAAGGGAAGGACACTTTCTTCTGGGCCAGTGCCATCCACCACAAAGGTTCCTATTCCAGGGCCTGCAGGTCACCACCAGCAGCCTATACATGCACGTTTCACAGTTCTGACTGACCTTCAGAGGCTCTAGGTCACTAGCCAATGGCTTCCTAAAATTGATAGGTTCTCCAAGAATCCTAGCAACTACAGTTAAGGCAGGCTGGGTGTGAACTTCCATAGCTCTCACCTGTCCTAAACACCACCATTTCTATTCCACTTTGCAACCCATACAGGCCTCTCTCTTTGCCTTCCTGCTTTGAGGACTGCTGTGGCATGTTTTACCTCTGAAATAGAAACAAAAGGCATTCTGACTGTGTGGCCAAGGTGGGGTCCCTCCTACCAGATGACAAGCATACTCAGGCTACATTATCATCAGGCCGCGTGCCAGAGAGCTTCCCAGAACCCAAAGCGTCAAAGCCAGGTTCCTGAAACTGTCTCACCAGGTTCTAGATACTGCTCAGTTCATCTGTCCAGCACCCTCCCCTCTGTTGGAAACATCACTCCGCTTTCTTGTAGTGATTGCTTCACCCACACTGGGACCACCTAATTCTAGAGGAACAGCTCCTTTCCTCCGGGTCTCACTTCCACCTTGTTGTCACAAGCCAGAGAAATCCCAAGTCCTTCCCTAAGACTTCTGATTGGAGTTAAGGAGAGAGAGCCCTTTACACCTGACTTTAAAAAGAAAAAAGGGAAAATGTGAGAACGAGCCCCACCTCTGCCCTTGCCAACTGTCTGAGTCTGCCCAGAACCAGCTGTTAGCTTTGCCATTTTGTAGCTCCCATCTGAAGCACTGCCTCACCTTTGTACCTCCTTATCTTTGCTCACATTGTCTCCTCTACTCAGGATACCTTTCCCCTAAGGCCACTTGTGAAATCCCTCTTGCCTCCCAAGTCACTTCCTCTAAGCAGCCTTTTATGAGCTTCAGGCCTCCGTGACCTGTCCAGAACCCCAGCTCCTCTTGACAGGACCATAACATCCACCCTCACCCTGAGCTGAAGGTGGTGGTGGCTGACAGGTGGGTGTGTGGCTCTTACCTGTACAGGAGCTGGCCCCGGTCCCGCGCGCTGATCTTCCCCCACAATCCGTTCTCAAAGGCCTCTTTTGCAGCAGCCACTGCCTTGTCAACATCGCTGGCCTGGGCCAGGGACACCTGGCAGATAACCTGTGGTGGAGCAGAGCTCTGAAGCCCTCCCTAAGCTCAGTGGACACAAACACAGTCACAGCACCTCCCTGCTCTCCTGGCCACCTGGTGAGCTCAGAGAAGAAAGTTTGCCAGAAGAAGGGCACTGGAGGGGAGCAACAACGAGAGGAAGATCGTTGGGTCCTAGGAAAGGTCTGTTTGTATTTCTACACACCAGGGACCTTCTCTTCACTTTCCCACTGAGTCCAACAGGGCAGCAGACTTGGGCTGCAGATTAAGTCTGAGTGTTTTCAAACCAAAAGCATGGACTCATTTCAGCAGAAGTTTTCTTTCTTAAGTGGAATAGGCGAGACATTGGAGGAAACTGGACAGGTCCCCTCTCTGCATGGCACACCCCAAGGGTGCCAATATTCTCTACAGCACAAGCCTTGGCACAGGTGAGAGAGAAGGGAAGGAGGGGTGAGGTCAGCACTTCCTTGCTGATCAGTACAGATAGCACCTGCTGGGCAGCCCTGTCCCTATAACCTCCAGTCCAAGACCCCCAAAGTATGTTTTGAGGTGGCAAAAGCGCTCAATGTTGCTGTCCAAGGACACTGTACCCCTTGTCTATATCCCCACAATTTCTTCATCTCTTTGGGAAGAACTTTCTTTACACTCCCCTCAGATGAGCCATTTTGAGTGTGCTATCACTTTTCTGCAGGAACTGAAGTGATGCTGTAGGATGGGACAGAATAGGAAGTGATCAGAATATACCTGTGAGAATATATTCTGTTGTTCCAGGTATGCAATGTGTGCATGGGTCATGATGTAAGAGGGCAATAATCAAGAACCTTGACAAACGCAGGATTCGAGGAAGAATTTTCTGATGTTGGGGTACAAATATTTGGGAAGGTGGGGCCCACACTGGGATAATTGTTGAAGTGTGGAGGAGGGAATGGTCTTCTTGTCTTCTCTGGGAGGTTGTAACTCTATTCCAGGTCTATGAAGCCAGCTCAAGCCCCTGTAGAGTGCTCTGGTCCCCAACCCCTGCCAACCTCTCCACTATGCCATTCCTGTAATGAGGTCTGGAGAATGACTGCAGTCCTTTTGTGTCCAAGCAGAAGTCCCCTGGGACAGGACCCCCAGAGGTCAGATAGGGGAGTAGATGGGAAAACACATCATGGAAGGGGCAGCAGTAGCAGGGAGGAAAGAAGGGGATGCTGGGCATGCACTCACACTTCCATCTGTCGGGTTGATAGTGTCATAGGTCTTGGCACCCTCAGCATCCACAAACTTGCCCCCAATGAAAAGTTGGTGAGGCATTTGGAGGACCAGCTTGTTCACTGCTTTTTCCACCTGGGAAGGAACATTTCACAGGTTTTAGCTGTAGTGTGGATTCTTCACAAATGGGCATCAGTGAGTGGCACAAACCCACATGGAGACATAAGAAACACTTAGGTGGTGCTTGCTTCAGCAGCACATATAGTAAAACTTGAATGATACAGAGAAGATTACCATGGCCCCTGCACAAGGATGACAAGCAAATTCATGAAGCATTCCATATTTTTATGGATAAGTACCTATCAATAATAGCCTTAAATGTAAATGGATTAAATGGTCCAGTCAATAGATGTAGGGTAGCTGAATGGATAAGAAAACATGACCAGCACATGTGTTGCCTACAAGACACCCACCTCAGAACAAAAGACCTACACAGGCTGAAAGTGAAAGGTTGGAGAACAATATTCCAAGCAAATGGACAGGAAAACAAAGCCGGGATAGCAGTATTCGTATCAGACAAAAGTAGACTTCAAAACAAAGGCCATAAAAAGAGACCCGGAAAGACAGTTCATAATCCTCAAGTAAAGAATCCATCAAGAACACATAAACATTATAAACATATATGCACCCAATATAGGAGCACCGAAATATGTAAGGAAAACCTTGGAGGACTTCAAGAAAGATATAGACAGCAACACACTTATACTAGGGGATTTTAACACTGCACTGTTAAAAATGGATAGATCCTCCAAACAAAACATCAACAAGGATATTGTAGCATTGAACAATGCCTAGATCAAATGGACTATATCTATGTAGATATATAGATATATAGATATATATGTTTCATCTATATATCTCCTTTCATCCCAAAGAAGCAAAATACACATTCTTTTCAAATGTACATGGAATATTTTCAAAGATGGACCACATGATAGGACACAAAACAAGCTTCAACAAATTCAAGAAAACTGAAATTGTATGAAGCATTTCTCAGACCATGTGGGCCTGAAACTAGAAACCAACCTCAAGGGAAAAAACTCAAAAATATTCATATTAGTGGATATTGGTTAGCATGCTATTAAACAATGAATGGGTTTAAAGTGAGATCAAGGGAGAAATCAAAAGCTTTCTGGAAACAAATGAAATTGAACTCACAGAAGTCCAAACCTTATGGGACACAGCGAAGGCAGTATTGGGAGGGAAGTTCACAGCAATACAGGCTTACCTAAAAAAGACAAAGATTTCAAATAAACAATCTAACCCTACACCTACAAGAACTGGAGGAACAACAACAAACAAAGCCCCTAGTGAGTACAAGGAAGGAAATAACCAAGGTCAGAGCAGAATTAAATGACATACTCGAAGGGTCAGTAAATCCCAGATCAGGTCCTTAAAAGATAAGCAAAATCAACATGCCTTTAGTCAGGCTCATCAAGAAAAAAGAGAGAGGGCCCCAATAAACAAAATGAGAAGTGAAAGAGGAGAGATTACCACTGATACTCCAGAAATAGAAAGGACTGTAAATAATAACTATGAACAACTATATGTTAAGAAATTTGACAATCTGGGTGAAATGGACAAGTTTCTAGAAAAATAGAATTTTCCAAAACTGAATGGAAAAGAAGCAGAAAGCCTGAACAGACCAATAACAGCTGATTGAATCAAAGCAGTAATCAAAAAACTCCCAGCACACGATGGCCCAGGACCTGACGGTTTCACAGGAGAATTTTAGGAAACACAGAAGGAAGGGCTAACCCACATCCTTCACAGACTATTCCAAAAAAAATCCAAGAGGAAAGACTCCAAAACCTCTGTCTATGAAGCCATCATCTACTAATCTAAAAACCATATAAAGACACAACGATGAAAGAAAACCATAGGCCAATATTGCTGATGAACACAGACACTAAAATCCTCAACAAAATATTGGCAATCCACAACCATCATTACATTAAAAAGATCATACACCATAATCAAGTGGGATTCATCCGGGGATGCAAGGATGGTACAATACTCTCAAATCAATAAGTATAATACATCACATAAACAAAAGGACAGACAAAAATCACATGATCATATCAATACATGTGAAAAAAGCATTTGATGAGGTACAGCACCCATTTGTGATAAAAAAAATACTCAGCAAAATGGGAGTAGAGAGAGCATTCCTCAACATAAAAAAGACCATATACAGGAAACCTACAGCCAACATCATACTCAACGGGCACAAACTAAAATCTTTTCCACTAAGATCAGGAACAAGACAAGGATGCGCACTTTCACCACTTCTATTAAACACAGTATTGAAAGTTGTAGCTACAGTGGTCAGACAAGAAAAGAAATAAAAGACATCCAAATTGGAAAGGAGGAAGGAAAACTGTCACTATTTGCAGATGACATGATAGTGAACATAGAAAATCCTATGGACTCCTCAAGAAAACCTTCTTGACCTAATAAGCAAATTTGGCAAAACAGTGGGACACAAAATCAATATTGAGAAATCAAAGGCATTTTTGTACACCAACAATGAAATACCAGAAAGAGAAATCGGGGGGGGGGGAATCCCATTTGATGTAGCAACAAGAAAAATAGAGTACCTAGGAGTACATCTAATCAACGAGGTGAAAGATCTGTACTCAGGAAACTACACAACACTGACAAAAGAAATTAAGGAAGACACAAATAAATGAAAGCACATACTGTGTTTATGCATTGAAGGAATTAACATCATCAAAATGTCCATACTACCCAAAACAATTTTTAGATTCATACAATCCATAGTAAATACCAATGATATATTTCTCAGACATAGAACAAACATTTCAAAAACTTATATGGAACAATAAGTGACCCCAGATAGCCATAGCAATTTTGAGAAAGAAGAACAGAGTAGGAAGGATCACAAGACCTGATATCAATTATATTACAAGGCCATGGTAATCAAAACAGTCTGGTACTGGCATAAGAACAGACACATCGATCAAAGGAACAGAATAGAGAGCCCAGAAATAAACCCAAGTCTCTATGGCCAATTAATATTCAACAAAGGGGAAAGAAGCAAAAAATGAAGTAAAAACAGCCTGAAGAATCTTCAACAAATGGTATTGGGCCATCTGGACAGCTACACGAGAACAAAAAAAGGACTCAATCACCAACTTACACTATACACAAAAATAAACTCAAGATGTATAAAAGACTTAAATACTTAGAGGACAATAAAAAGTCCTAGAGGAGAACATAGGCAGGGAAATCTCACATATTGCACACAGCAATATTTACACTGGCATGTTCCCTACAGCAAGGGACATCAAGGAAAGAATAAACAAGTGGAACTTCATCAAAATATAAATGTTCTGCATGGATAAAGAAAGCATCAGCAAAATGAAAAGGGAACCAATGATATGGGAAAATATATTTACAAGTGATATCACAGACAAGGGTTTGAGCTCCAAAATATGTAAAGAACTCACATGACTCCAGGAAGACAAATAACTCAGTTCAAAAATGGGTAAAGGACCTGAATAGACACTTCTCAAGGAGGACATACAGAGGGCCCTGAGACATATGAAAGGATGCTCAGCATCACTCGCCATCAGAGAGATGCAAATTAAAACCACAGTGAGACGCCACTTGACACTGATCATAATGGCCATCGTAAACAAATCAACAAACAAGTGTGGGAGAAGTCATGGAGGAAAGGAATCCCCAGTGAACTGTTGGTGGAAGTGCAGACAAGTGTAGCCACTGTGGAAAACGATATGGGATTTCCTCAGAAAACCAAAAATGGAACTGCCTTTTGACCCAGCAATTCCACTGCTGAAACACCTATTCAAAAGGTCCTATGCACCCCATTGTTCATAGCAGCACAATTTACAGTAGCCAAGTGCTGGAGGCAACCTAAGTGCCCATCAGTAAGCACATTTACACAATGGAATACTATACAGCAGAAAGAAAGAAGGAGTTCCTACCTTTCTTTACAGCATGGGTGCATCTGGATAGCATTATGCTAAGTGAAATAAGCCAGGCAGTGAAAGAGTAATACCATATGATTTCATCTATAAGTGGGAACCTAATCAACAAAACAAATAAGTGATCAAAATATAACCAGAGACACTGAAATAAAGAATGAACTGACAGTAAGCAGAGGGGAGGTGGGAGGGGATAATAGGGGAGGAGGTGGAAAGTTCCTCAAGGAACATGTATAAAGGACACATGAATAAAGCCAAAGGGGGGTAGGATCAAGGGTGGGAGGTAGAGTTGGCTGCACTGGGGGCCAGTGGTAGAAGGAACATGGAGACAACTGAACGTGAACAAGAAGAAAAAAGAAAATACAAGATTATTTCTTACTGCCAATGATGGTCAGATTGAAGTATCTCTACCAGCCCCATTTTTAATATTATCTCAAAATATTTACGTGTTGGCATATTTTCTACAGTGTTAATAATTTGCATTTCTAGAAATAAAAGCTTGATGCATAAAATAAATAAAGAAACACTTAAATGGATAGACAACCACTGCCATGTTTGTGCACACACACACACACAACTGGGCTACAGTCCATGGGCTACAACTGAGGGATCTACTGTGGGGGAAGGCTAAGGATCTGATTGGTATAAGAAGAAATGAAAAGCATAGACTCTGAGGCCAAACTGCCTTGACTAAAGCTCCAGCCCTGCTACTTACCTGCTATGTGACCTCAGGCTGTTTGCTTGACCTTCACACATGGAAAGTAGGTGGACAGGTCCCTGCAAACTGCCACACTTGACACCAGCCCCACCATGTACTTCTCTACAGATCTGCAACTACATGCTGAATGCACGAGTCTCTGTGATGCTGACTCCTTCCTGAAACCTGTTCATCAGTCATTTCTCCACAAACCCAAAGCCAAACTGAAGTCCATCCTGTCAACCTGTACTTTCTTCATCAGCCTTGGTCTCAAACTACCAACCAAATGAATTACCCCAAAGCTAATTACTATGGGAGCTTGTAGCTTGCCAAGATAACCTGGCAATAATTTTCAAGAGTTTCTTTAAGAAATGGATTTGCAATTACTTCATCACTCTTCCATAACACAGGTGAAATGTATAGGAACATTTGATTTCTTTATTGAGAAAATAATCCAAATTTCTTTTCCTCTTGCTTTCTTTTTGTTCTAGCATTTCAAGAAACATAATTTAATGCAGAGAATTAGTTACACAGGTGATGGAAGAGCTGAGAAGCCATGGGTCAACCCAGAGATCGCTAATAGCAGGAAGCCACTGCCATCACCAAATTAAAGGGACAAATGGAGGAGATGGTTGTACCAGAACTCGGGGCTAGGGCCATTCAGGGGAGCCAGAGTCAAGGCAGGATAATCTGGGAGAGGATGGAGGCACAGTGAAGATGAACTTGAAAAAACCCACAAAATGTGAAAGAAAGAGAGAAGTGCTCTGTACAAGCTTCTTATTATTTTCCTAGTTTCATGTCTTGGAACTCAGAACTTGCCCTATAGACTGAGTCTTAGACAGAAATTTCTTCTGTTGTGTTTTCCCTACTGCCAGGCCTGGCATCAGGTCATCCAGAGCTGCCAGAGAGAGCTTGGGACACTGAAAAACGGGCTCTTGGGGGTCCTGTCTTCCAGTTCATCTATGTTACCCCCATGTGTCATTTTGGGTCCGTAGCTGTCAATGCCTGAAGTGTCTACAGAGCCATGCCCATGTAGAGGGGCCCAGAACTCACGTAGTCAATGATGCACTCGCTCTCTTTGTCATCCCCTCGAAGCTTTCTCACTAACAATTGGATGAAGTCCTTGAAGGTTGTTGCCATGTAAATGTCTTCATTTTCTAATTCCACACCATCACACAGCTCTTTCACTTCTTCCACCAGTCTGAAGGAAAGGAGATTTTAAACAGTAGGACCATGGAAAGAGGCATGGCAAGCATGGATTCTTCTAGCAGCAGAGGTGCTGGTGCCCAGCACATTTATCCAGAAGAGACTTTCATCCCAGCACCTAAAGCATGAGTATTAGTCTAGAATTGAGGCTAATATCTCAATCTATGGACTGAGAAGGCCTTGGTTTCAAGTTCTGGCTCCACCACTTACTAATTTGTGATCTTGGGTAAGTGACAAACTCTTCTGAGTCTCAGTTTCTTCACCTGTAATATGGGAGTAATAATAGCTCCACCATTATTTTGTGATGAGTAAATGAGATAATCTAACTATTAATAATAACTAATATCAGAGCAAGAATAATAATTTTCAAAACACACTGTTAAACATGAAAAAATCAGCCACAGACTGGGAGAAAATATTTCCAAATCATGTAACTGATAAAGGACTTTCACTCACAATATATAACAACTTTCAAAATCCAACACTAAGAACAAAACAATCTAAGTAAAAATGGTCAAAAGATTGATCGGTTATGTTGCCAAAAAAGAAACATGGATAATATATGAAGAGATGCTGAACATCATTAGTCATTAGGAAAATGCAAATTCAAACCAAGAGGCATGGCTAGATACTCATTAGAAAATCTAAAATTATAAAACCTGACCATACCAATTACTGGTAAAGATGTAGAGCAACTGAACTGTCATAAACTGTTGGTAAGATTGTGGAATAGTATTTTGTAAAGCAGTTTGGCAGTTCCTTAAAAATTAAACACACACTTCTCATTTCACTTTCAGGCATCTACCCCAGCAAAATAAATGCCTTCATATAGATAGATGATGACAGAGTAAGAAGATCCAAAAGTCCATCCCTCCACCTAAATAATTATTGAACTTGCAGAAACTGCCTCAATCGAATGTTTAGGAAATCTGAGTCAAGTGAACTCTTGCAGTATCCACGGAAAAGCATGACGAGGAGCTGGCAAATATCAGTAAACTTTAGTGAATTTCAGCCTTTCAGTGAGGTACTGGCTGCCATCTCTTATCTCTCAACTTTGTGGCAGGAAGCCATGCAGGCAGCAGGCCACACTCCTGGTTGCAGCTGGCTGGAGCCAGGGTGGGCAATAAGAACTCTGTCTTTTGTAACTCAAGATTATGTGTTCTGAGTGTTGATACTGAACACTGAGGGAGCCAGCACAAAAGTCTGGCAGTCATTGTTTCAGTCTCCCAAGGCCAAAGCAGCTTCCCTGGGATTTAAAGAGGCAGTACATTTGTTTGCTTGTTTGTTTTTTTACTTTCTTTCCCTTTGGGGAGCCAGACATTTAACAAACTCTTTGCTAGGTAACAGGCTGACTGTAGAGATAACAGAATAGAAACTTGAATAACTGACTACACACAAGAAATACCCACTTTGTTTAAAAAAAAGTTGGGGTAAGTCACAAGTGAATGGCTCCAGCCCTCAAGAAACTTGATTTTGCAAACGCTAAGAAGTGAGAGAATTAGACTTTCAGAAGTATCACAATAAAATACTCAAAATATTGTTTTAAACCAAAAAAGCAAAAATATAAAAAGTATAGTCCATTCACAGGAAAACAGGAATTTAAAACAGGAAATCCTAAGGAAGAACACATACTGAAATTGTTAGTCAAAGATTTTAAATCAACTGTCTTAAATATGTCCAATAATTTTTTAAACCATGAACTAAGAACTAAAGGATATCATGGAAATGATGCATGAAAATGACAGTGTTAACGAAGATAGAAATTATAATAAACCAAACAAATTCTCAACCTGACAAGTACAATTATTGGAGTAAAAAGTCTCTGGAGGGGCTCAACAGCAGATTTAAGCTGGCAAAAAGAAAGGATCAGTGAATTTGAAATTATCTAGTATGAGGGCCTAAAAATAAAAAGAGCGAATAAAAATAATTGAGCCCGAGGAGCCTGTGGGACATCATAAAACATATTAACATGCTCACTATGGGAGTTCTAGCAGAAACAAAAAAAATTATCTAAGGTATAATAATTAGAAAAGTCCTAAATGTGAGAAAACATGAATATACGTGTCCATGGAGCTCAGTGAACTCCAAGAAAGATAAACTCAGAGAAAACCACAATAAGACACATTACATCCAACTCACTGAAATGCAAAGACAAAGAAGAAAGTGGAAAGCATCAAGAAAGAAGTGATTCATCACATACAAAGGATCCCCAATAAGGTTAAAAGCTGATTCTCCTCAAATACCATGAAGAACAAAAGCAGTGGGATAGAGTCATGAAAAAATTAATAATGAACCAAGAATTAATGATGGGGACATTAAGACATTTCTAGACAAACAAAAGTTGAGGGAGTTCATTACCTGTAGACCTGTCCTACACTAAATATTAAAGGAAGCCTTTCAAGCTGAAAGGAAGGGCACTAATGACGAACTCAAAGCCATTAAAAAAGGAAAAAAGAAAACACTGGTAAAAGTAACTACACAGATAAATGTGAAAGCCAGCAGTACTGTATTTTTGATATGGTATATAACTTCTCTCTTTGTCTTATGTAATACAATAGGCAAATGCATGAAACAGTAAGTTAAGTTCTACATTAATGTCTTTTTTAAAGATTTTTATTTCTTTATCTTCAGAGGGGAAGGGAAGGAGAGTGGGAAAGAAATATCAATGTATGGTTGCCTCTCATGTATCCCCTGCTGGGAACTGGCCTGCAACCCAGGCATGTGCCATGAGTGGGAATCGAACCGAGATACTATGGTTCTCAGGCTTGTGCTCAATCCACTGAGCTACACCAGCCAGGGCCATTAATGTCTTTACAATGCATAAGGATGTAATCTGTGACAATAACAATATAAAGGGGGAAATGACAGAGACGCATAGGAGTAGAGTGTTTGTGCACTATTGAAACTAAGCTGGTTATTATAGGGTTAAGATGTTAATTACAATCTCCAAGGTGATAACTAAAAGAAAATAAGAAGGAACAAAATTATACACTACCAAAAAAAGAGCAGCAATGGAAAGACTGAGGAATATGTGAAACATACAAAATGCAAATTAATAAATGTCACAAGTAAATCCTTTTACCTGCAGTCTGGATAAATGAAATGGAAGAGTGAGTAAAAAACAGCATCCATCCATATGCTATAAAAGATTCACTTTAGATATAATTATACAAAAAAAGTTGAAGGTACAAAATGGAAGAGATATTATATACAAATAGTAAACAAAAAGGGTTGGTGTGGCTACATTTTGGCAGACAAAATAGATTTTAAATTGAAAAAGTTTAAAAGAGACAAAGAATATTGAGAAGATTGATATCAAGTTTAACACAAGAGAATACAGCAATCATAAACATATATGCATCTAAAAACACAGCCCCATAATAAAAAATTGGCAGAATTGAAGAGAGAAATATATATTTTATAATAATAGTTAGATTGTAAATTCCCAACTTTCACTGATAAATAGAAAACCACAGAGAAGATAGAGAAATAAAGGACTTAAGGAAACACTTTAAACTTGGGGGGCGGGGCAGGGAGGTATAAGGGGACTAAATGGTAATGGGAAAAAATACAACAAAAACCACCCTCTATAATCAATTGTATGCATACAGAGTATTCCACCCAAGTAGAGCAGAATTTACATTCTGTCTCGAGTCCACATGAGATACTCTCCAGGATAAGTCATTTGTTAGCCACACAAGTTTTAATAAATTTTAAAACACTGAAATCTTATAAAGTATCTTTTTAATCACAATGCAATAATACTAGAAGTCAATAGCACAAAGAAAACTGAAAAAAATCACAAATACGTGAAAATTAAATACACATTCTTTCTAAATTTTTTATTTTTTCCAGTTTTATTGAAAAATAATTAATATGTATCACTGTATAATTTTAAGGTGTTGAGCATGATGTTTGATTTACATATATTGTAAAATGATTACTATGATAGGTTTAGTTAACGTCCATTGCCTCATTTAGATACAAAAGGAAAATTTTTAGTCTACTCTTAACAATTTTCCTATATATCATACAGCAACATTAAGTATAGTCATCATGTTGTACATTACATTCCTATTACTTATATATTTATAGCTGGAAGCCTGCACCTTTTAACCACTTACCTCCAAAACCTTTTCCCAAACTCCCCTACCCCACACTCTGGTAACTACAAACCTGATCTCTCTTTTTTACATGAGTTTGGAGGGTTTTGTTATTGCTGGGTGGGTTTTTTTGTATTTTTTGGAAGACTTCACGTATGAGATCAGGCTACAATAAACAACTCTTTCTTTCTTTGTAAGATTTTTTATTTATTTATTTTTAGAGAGGGGAAGGAAGGGAGAGAGAGGGAAAGAAATATCAATGTGTGGTTGCCTTTCACATGGTCCCCACTGTGGATGTGGCCTGCAACCCAGGCAGGTGCCCTGACTGGGAATCCAACCAGCGACCCTTTGGTTCACAGGTGGCTCAGTCCACTGAGCCCCCACCAGCAAGGGCTAAACCACACTTTCTTAAACAACCAATGGGTGAAATACGAAGTCACAAAGGAAACTGTAAAGTACCATCAAAGAAAAAGAGAATCACAACATACCAAATCTTATATATCACAACAAAGATAGTGCTAAGAGGGAAATTAACTGTAAAAGTATACATTAAAAAAGAAGAAAGATGTCAAGTCAATAGCTTAACTATATACCATGTAATTAGGAAAAGAAAAGCAACCTAAAGCCAGAAGGGAGAAGTAAATAATAAAGATTAGAACAGAAATAAATGAAATAGACCTGTAATATTCTTTTTCTTTTTTTCAGTGTCTTTGTCTGGTTTTGATATCAGGGTAATGAATGCAGACTTTGTAGAATAAATTTGGAAGTATTCCCTTTTCTTCAATTTTTTCTGCAATAATTTGAGAAGGATGGATATTAATTCTTTAAATTTCTAACAGCATTCGTGTGAAGTGATCTGGTCCTGGACTATTGTTGGGAGTTTTTGTTTATTTATTTTTT